GTCTGTAAAACACCATTTTGCAACTCTCACAGTCGTCAGAAAAGTTTTCTTTTCATCTTGTGACGAAAATATAAATTTTCAGTGGTGATCGAGTGATTCTCAACCATTCAAAATCTTGATCAGCCTAACGCAAAAATCCAAATAATTAATATGTGGAAAGAAAAGTCCACAAAGATCTTCATCCTGTCAAAAAAGAGCAAAAAAATCTCTTTATTCGTTTTATGTACAACATATAATTGGAGACAATAATTAAAGAGTTTCTGTACTAAAAATGTCCCATCAGTTCTACTCCTGCTGCATCTGCAGTTCCCTCAACAACTGTGCCCTCTGCTTCTCCAATTCGTCCTCCGAGAGTTCGTGGTGCTCTCCATTATCGTGTATTGAGCCCTCAGAGTGCCCCGATGGTCTGCGATGTTTCTCCTCCTTCGTTCTTCTTTCCGGCGAGTCCTCAGACGATGGTAAACGCGAATGCGAACGCTGAAAAGGAGAAGATATTATAAATAAAATGTACTGGCACTGATTTTTTATTTTTTAGGAGATATCTACCGAATGGCTTCTTCCACGCTTCTTCTTGTTCTTCTTTCTCTTAGTCTTTTTGCTCTCAGACTCCGAGCTGTCTGATTTACTCAACGGACTAGGAGACCTTGATTTGTGGCGCTTCTTCTTCCCTTTGTCACTGACATCAGACTCAGGCTGAAAAGTTCAATAGTTCAAGATTTTAAATTTAATAATTCAAGATTTTTTCAAGATTTTCTTCGAACAAAGTTGATTAGAATTAATAGCTTCAATTATGAGATTATCTCATATTTTTTATGTTAAGCATACACTGAGAGAAAAACGACAAAGTTCTCAACAAATCTTACTTGTGCCAAGAAAATAGTTTTTTGAAAATTATCAAAAAAGGATTTTTTTGTGTCAAACATGTAGAGAGTGCACCGGAATGAAAAAATTTTGTCGCAAAACTTTTTGTCATTTCTAGCAATACTCCTTCGTTATTCGATACTCCCATACGTATTTTGGTCCCGAAAAATCTTTGTTTTATGTGAAACAAGGGATAGTAGTTTTTCCTTTCGACTGTCTAATAATCACAGACAAGAAATGAACCCTTAAAGGAAACAATAATAATGGTATGATAGCAATCTTGTAACTCAGGGATAAAATATTTGTTGATAAATTTTCCTCTACATGAGATATTTTCATCCTGAAAAGGCACCGTCTGGTGTGAATTATTCGCCTCTTTAGCCGAATATTTCGTTCCTGTCGAAAGTAGAGCAATTATTCATGTTTGAGACTTTCACATTCGAACCAAACAAATTCTTTTTTGGCAATTTTCAACTAGCGATTCTGTTGGCCCAAACAAGACTTGTTTGACAACGCGCTTGTTTTTCTCTCAGTGTAGGATAATCTGAATGCCAATTCGAATGATCATAAACAATAACTTGAAAAAAAAAAAATCGAATCTGACAGGAAAAATTGCCCAATGAACGAGCATCAGCACGTAAATAAAAAAATTGTTCACTCCTCCCAAGCCCTGAAAACTCACACTATGACTCCTGGACCTGGACTTCCTCTTCCCCTTCTTCCCCTTCTTCTTCTTGCTCCTGATGTGATGATGTCCGCAGCTCTCCTCGAGATCATGCTGATACTCCTTGAATATCCTGACCCTCTCGCTCTCCAAGGTGATGGCCTTGAAGTCCCCCTCCTCCTCGAGCTTCTCCCTGACCTCCTCCCAATTCATCTGATAATCCACCTCGATGTTCTTCAACAGCCCCTTGAACGCCCCCTCCAACTTCTTAAACTTCCTCGTCTCCTCCTTGACCCTCTCCTTCTCCCTCGCCTCCGCCTTCTCCAGCAGCAAATTATACGTCAGCTTGACATTCCCAGCGTCAAGAGTCGCCGATTTTCTGTCCTCACAGACAACCGTAGCGAATGCCTCGAAAGTCGTGTTAACCTGTACCTCAAAGTTCTTGTCCTTGAGGATCTCCCTGATGATCTTCTTCTCGTCATGGAACCTGGACTTGAGATCCTCAACATAAAACTTGAACAGATCAAGAGGAGTTGAGCCAGGCTGTCCCAGCATAGCCGAAAACCTGAGATCAGCACTGAGCATAGGATACAGCTCCACCCAGAGTGACATAGAAGTGAGTTTCCCCTGCTCATGAAGCTCATCAAGCAGCGAAATAAAGCCATCCCTGTTCTTCCTCTCCTGTCGCTTCCTCCTCTTCTTCTCTCGCTCCTTCTCCTCCTCCTCGTCCTTCTCCAGCTGCCTAATATGATTCTCAAAAACCAAGAGTGCATCCTCCTTGTCCATCTCCAGCAGGTCAGCATCCTCAGCAAAAGCCGAGTGCTGAAGAAGAAGCGACTGCGTCTCTTGCCAAGTTGTACGATAAGTAACATCAGTCATCGTATCCAAAACCTGGGCCAACTTCTTCGTATTCCTCTTCTTCAGCAGCTTCATCTCCTCCTTCTCCCTCTTGGCAAGATTGAAAATAACATCCTCATAGATGTCCCGTCTGTCCGAGTCACCCACGGCCTTCCATATCTCGAGATTAGCATAAATCTCCTCGCACTTGTAATACTTGACGGTGCTGGTCATTCTCTCGTGATTAAGGAGAAACTGCTCCAAATCCTCCTTGGCCTTCTTCAGCCTGAGTCTCTCGGTTTCCTTCTCCTCCTTGAGCCTCTGCGTTTTGTAAGCATTGAACGCTTGCTTGCGCTCATTGAGCTTCTTCATCGAAGGATATCTAGGATCACTAGATATCATCTTGACAGCTTGCTCCCAGGTGGCGTTGGAGGGCACATCCCTCTCCTTGAGCAGCTCCTTGAACGCCTCGATGGCCTCCTTCTTGTCCTTGAACTGGACCTTTGGCTCGGGTGTTGATGTTCGGCTGCCATTGGCCGAACCCTTCGCCGAATTGCTGTCCTCATCGGGTTTTGCCGGCGGTGTGGGAATATTAATGGCAGCGAGTGTCGCTGCCATCGCCTGCTCAATGGCGGATTTACCCGAATTCGTTGATTCGGGGGTTCCCACAACGTTTGGCGATGAGTGCTGAATTAATTGTGATATTCCACCGGTATTTGTTGCACTTGCGACAGCGACAGCTGCTGCCGCTGCCGCCTCTTCAGCCAGAATTCGATTTTTCAGCTCTTCAAGCTCCGGGGGAATTGTCCAACGTGACTCCTTGGAGGTCACGTTGTGATAGTAAACCTTGCCATTTTCGGATTTGTATTCTTTCCAGGGGCATTGGGAGAGCAAGAGCTCGGAGGGAGTCTTCAATTCGTCTGGCTTCTCCCAGAGGGATTGCTTTGTCGTGGAGTTGTAGTAGTAAGTGCGACCGTCGGGGGCCTTGTGCTCTGTCCAGTCGGACTTTTTTTCAATGGGCGAGGTGGACGGGACGGGGGCGGGGGTCGGGGTCGAGGGGTTTGTCAGGGGGTGAGGGGAAGGGTTCGGAGCGGGTGAGGAGGTGTCGGTTGGGGGGAGGGTCGGGAGGGCTGGGGCAGTTATCTGTGGGGGAGCGGCTGAAAAAATAATGACAGAGGTGAGAGAATTGAGTGGAAAATGGGGAGCGAACTGAGAGAAATGGGAGAATTACGAGTGAGTGAAGAATGAAGTTGTTGACCTAGAGTTATTTCAACGGAGATTGACTCGGTAGTGCAGAGCAGATTGAGCGAACTGAGAGAGGTGAGCGGAGTGAACATATTTTCATCGGTTACTGGGGGATTCACAGGGGAGATACCGAGCAAATTGCATGTACGGGTGGGATCATCATTATTGAGTTAAATATGGCGGTTGCCGCGATTTTAAGGGTGCCAAGTGAATTTGGCGATGACCTTGAAAATTGACATTGTTATAATTTTTTTAATTAATAGTATTAGACAGATGGTGAACATCGGTGACAATTTTAACATTTTAGAACTTATGGATATCGAGAAATTAAATAAACAAAATCAGTCTTATACACGGCCTCTTATGGAGTTTTGATTAAATTGAACGTTTCAACCCCCTAGGAACTCAAGAAAAATTTGAAAAAATTTGAAGATATGGGGAATGATGTGTTCAATGTGATGGCGATAAAAAACAATAGGGTGCCGGGGTGAATAAGAGAGATATTTCAACCCGCCGTGCCCATTTGATCCCATGCTTTCTCGAGGTTCGTCACGCGAAATAGAGGATTTTCCGCATTTATTTTCTCGATGTCTAGTTCCGGTTGCGGGTTTGAAATTTCGTCGGATGGATGAATACATATTTCTCCAATGATGGAGGGAAAGAAAAAAATTTTTTTGAATCTTTTTTCAAATTCACTTGGCACCCTTAAGAGAAAAATGGGGAGCAAAAAATTGAGAGAATTGAGCGAATTGAAAGAAGAAAATTAAGGGATCGAAATGTTGACTGGAAGTTATCAGTTTTAGTTCAGGCGGACAAGTCAGAGCAGATTGAGTGAACAGAGGGAAATCAGCGAATTCAATTGACACATGGAGATAATCAAATTTGGTATTAAAAAATTTGTATTCATCTATTTGGAAACGTTCTGGATGTTGACTGAATGATGAAATAAATTTGAAAATTAAGAGAACAGACAGAAATGAGCTAATTAAATTGACACATGGACATAATGAAAGTTGACATTAAAAACAATACATATTCATTAATTTTGAAATATCTCTGAATCCATCAGCTCTATTAAAAACCACCAGATGACACTTTTTGTAGCTCATGAAATTCCCCACAAAAATACCCTCTGACATTTGCCCCCAGGACATCTCATTACTAAAATCGTTTCAGATTTGTCAACATCAGCACTTAAAAAACCCATATAATTAGTTTTTGTGAATGAAAAAAATGTGAAAATGAATTAATTGCTGTGATTATCAATCACTCACCAATGACTCCAGGCTCAGGTGGACCCCCAGCCCCCATGGGGTATCCAAATCCAGGCGGGGGTATGGAAAACTGTGGAGGCATCATCCCCGGTGGTCCTGGTGGCATTCCAGGTGGTGGAATAAATGGCCCTGACCCCATCATCGGGGGACCGTACCCTGGCGGCATATTTGGAGCTGCTGGAGGGTATCCTGGGACTGCTGGCGATGGTATTCCATCGTTCGATGCCTTGACAATAATTTTTAGGTTAGAAGTGAAAAAATTTTACAAGCTGTGATCCCTTCGTGTGCTTCCGGGCTTTTTGATGGAGAATTTATCACTCACCATTTTGTTATTTTGTTTCTGGTTATTTCACTTCGTTCAATTCATTGGTAAGTGCTTTTGGAATTTTTTTGAAGGACTTGGGGACTCGGTTCTGGCGTTCTCGCCGGCGTTGTTGTTAATGACGTCGAGTACTGACGTCAGATGATTCTCAATTGGCTGTCGGAGCGCGACTGTAGGAGTTTATGATACTGTAGAGTTTTTGATGTTTAAACAATCAATTTTCGGGGATTTGTGGATTTGACTCCATCATTTTTTTTATTGAGTATTGAAGTCAGGGACGAATTTTTCAATGACTGATCCAACTTCTGATGGATTTTTGGGATGAAGATATTTTTTGGAAGCGAATCACGCCGAAATGGATTGTTTAAAAAATATTACAATGTTCTGGGGTATTAATAATGTGTCCTAGATTTGTTTCGTAATTTTTCATGCTAATTAATACCTGAAAAACATTTATTTTTAGTTCGATTCCAAGATGTAAGATTTTTTAGATGGAAATGATTTTTCGAGAGTATGGGAATGAGGAATTAATTACTTAAAAAATAGTCGGATGTTTTGTACTATTTTTCACACTTCTCTGGATTTTTTCATAATTTTTACTCAACAATTAATCAAAATAAAAAATAATTGTGACGATAATCTCGTCATGGCCAGAAAAATCTTGAAATGAAAATGATTTTTTACTGGTAAATAATTTTCAATAAAAATTATTTTAAAAAATAATACGATATTCGGTACTAGGTACTTCCTCTATCTCTTTTAATTTTTTCATAATTTTTACTCGACAATTAATCAAAACAAAAAACAATTGTGATGATAATCTTTTCATGACCAGAAAAATCTTGAAATTCGAATGATTATTTACCAATAAATAATCTTCAATAAAAATTAGAAAAAAATAATAGGATATTCGATACTATTTCCTCCACCTCTCTGAATTTTTTCATAATTCTTACTCAACAATTAATGAAAATAAAAAATAATTGTGATAATTTCTTCATGACCAGAAAAATCTTGAAATTTGAATGATTTTTTACCAATAAATAACCTTCAATAAAAATTTTAAAAAAATGATACGATATTCTATAGTATTTCCTCCACCTCTCCAAATTGTTTCATAATTTTCACTCAACAATAAATGCCACAAAAAGATGAGTTTCCATTGAGATTTTTTCAAATTTCCCCCAAAAACAGGTGGTTCCCCCTATTGTCATCACTTTGACTCCTGGCTCCTGACACACCGAAAAATCTCCACACCCGAGACAAGGCGTGACGTCACCCGTCAATCATACGACACTTTCCCCCGTTCTAAAATTCAATAGTCCGCAATTAATTTATTAACAACCCCTCGATGCCTCCGAAAAGCGCGAAATCCCGTTTCCCAGATATCCATTGAGCCCGACGATGAAAATTTCATCAGAATTCCCTCGTCCCAGTGTCTCATTCACAAAAATAAACTGTTAGGAACGAGGAAAAGAGGTTGGTGGAGGTGTTGATAGATCCTAAAACTCCACGTAAACACAGGAAACCGATATCAGTTATCGTCTGGGAAGTTTCGGTTGATAAAGGACTCGAGAATGTTCAAGAAATTCAAGGATAAACTCGCTGAGGAGATGAAGCAGTCCCCGGCGAGACTGCAGGCGAGCATGCAGCAGTTGGCACAGGTAATCCATCTGTCAGTGATTTAACAATAAATAATTATGAGATAATTATGAGAATAACAATTGCAGGAATTGATTTTCCAGGAGTTGTGAGTCATTACATTTTTTATTGATATATTTTTTATATTCTTTTTATTTTTTACTCATTTTCTTTTTTTTTTATTTAAAAATTTGTTCATTTCGTAGAAACCGCATGGATTGAGTTAAGGTTAATCTGAAGAGGATAAATAATTTTAAGAAATGTTTAAAAATATGAGATGGAGGCACCACCATCTTTGAAGCCCCTTTCGGTAGTGGGAGTATCCAATCAAGATGGCGGTGCCTCCACCTCGTATGTTTAAACATTTTTAAAAAAATTTTATCGTCTTCAGATCACCTTCAAGTCGTTTAATCCAGTTCCTAGAAAATGAACAAATTTTTTAAGCTATCCTTCAAATATTTTCATCCACTTTTGGCTGAGAATTCATGACGCAAAATTTTTAGGGCATTTCAGTAATTTTTTTTTTCATTCCCAAGGGCGCTTGATTTTTTAATTACTCTCCCCATTGAAAAAATTGAATAATTCCAAGAGTTTTATTTCAAATAGATATAATTCGAGATAAAAAAAATATATAGGGGTGAGTGGATTTTCTTTTCAATTAATCCATTGACTAAATCTTCTCCCGTCAAAACTTCTCTATAATTTTCCATTCTGCTGAATGGAGAATATTATTCTCAACAGTAATCCCAATAATAAAAAAAGTTGATAAAAATAAAAAGTTGATAAAAAAATTGTTTTGCTTGAATTGCGTCAAATAGTCGTTCAGCTGCTTTATTTTGCCCCACTCTCGCCTGAGAGGGAAGAAAAAAATATGAAAAATGAAAAAAAAATGAAAAATTCCAATTGCAGGCAGTTGTCTCCCCGTCAGTCTCCAACACCTCCATCCAGAGTCTGTCAGCATCAAACGACAACTTCTCCCTCACAGAGGAGGGTGACGAGACCCCGAAGAACAGCCCAAGTCACCAGGGCTTCCACTCCGTGGACTTGACGTCCCCCAACTCCCTGGGTGTCTCCAGGCGTTCCTCAATATCCTCAGTGACAAGTGCTGACACATCCTCCCTGTTTCCGATCTACGAGGGCGCCCCCAGCACGTACCACCTCCACTCGGACATGGACCAGTCAGCGAGTGAAGCTGACGAGAACATTCCCCCGAATCTCGAGAGGGTGACGAAGGAGCAGGTGTACAGCGCCTACAGAAAGGCCCAGGGGAAGTACCACAAGTACAGGGGGAGGTACACAGACCTGGCGACTCACTACAGGGAGATGGAGAGGGTCAAGAGTAAATTGGAGAGTCTTCTCGTGGAGACGCAGGACAAGGCCTTGAGGAGAATTGCCGATCTCAAGGAGCAGTGCCAGCTGGAGCAGCAGGCGAAAGCTCATCTGGAGGAGGCACTCAGGAATGATATCGAGGAGAAGGATCATGTCATCGGGACGTTAAACACCAAGGTAAGGAGGATTCATCGTTAATGATGATTGTTAATAATGAAGATTAATTGATGAAGGGGTCGACTTTATATGCAGCTTGTTATAAAGGTTATTTGGAGTGGATTAGGGCTAAAGGACATGGAACATTTTTCGTTGGAAATTTAATTCTCTGCAGAAATGTTCTTGAGGCATTTTTGTCGAAAAGCACTCGTTAACGAGATAATTAGCATCTTATTAAAGAAGTTTTTCTTCAAGTGTTGCTTTCTTTAATTTCTGTTCTTCAGATCTTTTTTCATTTCATTAATACGAGAATTTTTCTCATCCAAATGTCAGCCAATAGAATTGCACTATTCGACTGTTATTTCATATAGTCAACACGGTATTCAGCTGATAATTTTTGATAATTCAACTGGTAATTTTTCATGTTGACTAAATTTGTGGAAAACAAAAGATTTCGAGGTCGAGTGAAGCCCTGGTTGGAAATGTCAGATGGATTTTGTCTCATAGTGCAATTCTTTTGGACATTTGGATGGGAAAATTCCCTCCCGAATACTACTCGAGCTTCAAAATTAATCGAGTAATTCCCTCAAGGTTCCCTGCACACAAACGAACCTATCGGGAATTGCTCGATAATTTTGAAGCTCTCGGGGTATTACTTGCGAAAATATCTCGGTAGTGAGTGACTTGAGAGGAAAATGTCATAGAACATTTTTGTAGGGAATTTAATTTCCTATCACATAAGTTTTTAAGACACTTTTCCTTGAAAGTACTCGTTAACGAGATGATGAACATATTAATAGAGGTGTTTTTCGTCAAGTCCCAAAATTTCATTTTTCCACTTTTTTTCATTTAGCAAATAATGTGATAAAACATTTTTGTAGGAAATTTAATGCTCTCCATAAATGATATTGAGACATTTTTGTCGAAAATTATTCATTAACGAGATAATTAGCATATTATTTTTAAAAAATCTCTTCAAGTGTTGTTTTCTTTAATTTAGTGTTAGTGATTTTAGAGGAAAATGTCATAGAACATTTTTTTAAAGAAATTTAATTTTCTACGAATAATCTTTATGACATTTTTCATTGAAACTACTCGTTAACGAGATAATTAGCACATTAATAGAAATGTTTTTCTTCCAATCCCAACTTTCAGTTTTTCACTTTTTTTCATTTAAAAAAGATGGGAATATCTCAGCAATGAGTGGTTTTACGAAAAAATGTGATATTTCATTTTTTGTAGGAAATTAAATTCTCTACAAAAATGATCTTCAGATATTTTCTCCTGGACCTACTCATAACCGTAATAATCCCCAAAAACAATGAATTAAGGCCCGGGTGTACTATCTTTCGAACATTATCTCGATGTTTTTTGTTTCATCTTTCGTCATCTGAAATTGTCAATTAAGTTCTGCATCATGCAGAAGTTTTGAAACATTATGAATGAATAATCAAAAAAAAGTAGAAAAAATTCTTAATTTTTTCAAAGAGTATTTTTAATTTATATTCAGAATAAGTTGACTAACAAGAAATTGAAAAATGTATCTGATTTACGGTGACAAATGGCGGCCTGTCACCCAATATCATGCAGGGGGAAGACTGATTTCGTAAATCTTTTCCCACACTGCACAGAGACATTTATTACGGAAAAGGCTCTTTGAAAAAAGTTGTAATATTTTGGAGAATTTTTTAATCACACTTTTATCACATAAAAATGGCAGATGACTACATACCACTGTTTTGAAAATTGAGATACCTAGCTGTCACTTCCCATGAGGAGTTGGTGTGTTTTGTTTATCCACCATGGAAAATGACAGCTAATAGATAATTTGCCACAGCGAATCAGATATTTGTAATTTCCACTTTTTTCAACTCATTCTGAATCTCAATTAAAAACGCTCTTTGAAAAAGTTCAGAATTTTTTCTATTTTTTTTTATCATTCTATTATAATTTTTGGAAATTTCTACATGATGTACCACTCAATTGACAATTTTGGATTACGGAAAATAAAAAAAATCCAGATAACATTCGAAAGATAGTACCTGATGATTGTACCTGCCATGGGGCAGGTAATGCTCTTGCAGGCGACGGCGTCTCCACCGGCTTCAGACCTTCTAGTGGACCTCTCGCCGCCTCTGGAGGAGTCCCCAGCCCCCGAGAACCTCGCCCTCAAGTCCAAGTTCGAGAAGCTGGAGGCCCTTCTCCAGAAGTACAAAGAATCCCTCAGGAGGTCCAAGGAGAAGCTCCAGGAAGTGACGGAGGAGAAGAATGTCCTGGAGAGGGACTTCGAGGCCCTGAGGGCCTCCAACGACGAGAAGTTTCGACTCCTCGAGGACGATTTAATCATCTCCAGGGGGGAAATCAATAACCTGAGAGATCAGCTCAACACCATGAAGGGGAGGGAGGAAGAGTCAGCGATTTCTCTAGCCGAGAACAAACTTTCCATCCACAGAGAGCTTGAGGTAAAAGAGGAACAGATCAAACAGTTGAATGAGGAGTTGGAGATGGCCAAGTTGAATAAAAATGATGGCATGAAAGAAGTTCAGAGAGAAATGCAGGGAAAACTGATAGAGTTGGAGGAGAGAATGGGGTCTAAACATCACGAGGAAGTAGAGAAGAATAAAAAATTGGTGGAAAAAATTGAAGCATTGCAGGAAGAAATAGATTTTCTGCAAAAGGAGAGGGAGAAGAACGACAAATTGGAGGAGCAGTTGGAGAAATTGAGGGAAAAGATTGACTTTTTCCAGAGGGAAAAGGAGAGAAACGAGAAATTAGAGGAGGAATTTGACAAGTTGAGGGAGAAAATTGATATTTTGCAGAAAGAAAACGAGAAACTTCCGGAATCAAATGAGAAATTCAAGGAATTGGCTGAGAAAATTGAATTTTTACAGAAAGAGAATGAAAAAATCAGGGAGAAAAATGGAGTTTACGAAGCTGAATTGTCAAAAGCTAGAGAAACTATCGAAAAAATGTCGAGGACAGAGTATACATCGTCTAAAGACGAATTGATTCAGACATTGAACTCTAAAATACAGATTTATGCTGCAGCTGTGCAGAAGGCAAAGGAGAAAATAGACTCTCAGAATTCGAGAATTAAGGAATTGTCTGAGGATTCGAGTAGAGAGGAGCTCGAGGAGAAGAATGTGGAGATCCTGGGGATCAGGAGTGAGTTGAAGTCTTGTAAATCGACTGTTAGTGATCTTAAAGAGCAGGTGAAGAGGATCTCTGGGGAGGCTGAGCAGCTGAGGAGGGAGAGGAACTGCCTGATTGCAAATATTCTGGATTATAGGCGGAGGATTCAAGGGTTCAGGGACTGCTGCGAGGGGATCAAGGAGGAAGTGAAGGGGCTCAGGGTCAGGGACGAGATTGTGGAGGTGGAGAAGGTGCTGAAGGAGAAGATCAATGGGTTGAGAAGCGTTGAGGGGAATTCTGAGAGGAAGAGGGAAGAATTGTCGTTGGAAATTGAAGAGTTGAAGGGGAAAATTGAAGATTTTGAGGGAATTTCGAGGAGGAATGAAGAATTGGTGGGAGAAATTGGGAGGAAATCCTTGGAAATTGAAGAATTGAGTAGAAAAGCTGAAAATTTTGAGGAGATTTTGAGGAAAAACGAGGAATTGTTATTGGAAATTGGAGAATTGAAGGGGAAAATTGAAGATTTCGAGGAAATTTCGAGGAGGAATGGAGAATTGAGTGGAGAAATTGAGAGGAAATCTTTGGAAATTGAAGAATTCGGCAGAAAAGCCGAGAATTTCGAGGAGATTGTGAGGAAAAATGAGGAATTGTCCTTGGAAATTGGAGAATTGAAAGCGAAAATGAAAGATTTTGAGGAAATTTCGAAGAGCAATGGGGAATTGAGTGGAGAAATTCAGAGGAAATCTTTGGAAATTGAAGAATTGAGTAGAAGAGCTGAGAATTTTGAGGAGATTGTGAGGAAAAATGAGGAACTGTCGTTGGAAATTGGAGAACTGAGAAGGAAAATTGAGGAAATTTCAAGGAAAAATGGAGAATTTTCGTCGGATATTCAACGAAAATCTCTGGAAGTTGAAGAATTGAAGGACAGAATTGACAATTACGATAAAATTGTCCACAAAAACGAAGAATTATCCAACGAAATTCATCAAAAGGCTTCAGAAATCGAGGTAATGTCTGCAAGATTGAACAATTTCCATGAAATCCAGCTTCAAAACGAGCAACTATCATCAGAAATTCACCAAAAATCCTCGAAAATCGAAGAATTAACTAGACAAATCTCCGCCATGAACGAAATAATCCCCAAAAATCAAGAGCTATCCAACGAGATTCACCAAAAAACCTCAGAAATCCACGAACTGTCCTCAAAAATCCAAAAACTAGACTCAGAAATCACGAAAAAGGACCTCCAGATCTCCGAGATGCTCCAAAAAGTCCAGAACTTCGACGAAACCACGAGAAAGAACAACAAACTCATCGCAGAGATCGACAACCTCAACTTCAAGATCTTCGATCTCTCAAAATTAAAACAACAACTCTCCCAACTCAAAGAAAAATCCAAAACCCTAGAACTAGAAAACCAAAAATTGAAGGACGAAATGTTGACCCAAAAAACCCAAACCGAAGAGATTGAAATTTTGAGATCAGAAGTTTCCAAAAACGAGAGAATAATCAGAGAAAAAACCTCAGAACTAGAAGACCTCCAGCAAAAATATTCGCCTCAACTAGAAGAACTGTCAGATCTCAAAATACAATTAGAAAATTCTCAGAAGATGTTGAAAGACTCTCAAGAGGAGTCCAATCACCTCAAAATCGAAATTTCTGATAACCAGAGGCTTCTAGAGTCTTCTCAGCAACAAATTCAGCAGCTGGAGGAGAACCTCAGGATAAAAACGCAGGAATTGTCTTTAATCTCTGCCTCCACTTCTGACAAACTAAAAACGGAGGAAAAGAACCACAAAAAAGTCCTGGAAAATCTGAAACAAACGGAGGAAAAATTGTCAGCTGTAACTTCAGAGTTCGAGGCCTCGAAAAATCGTGTCCAAGACACAGAACTGAATCTCCAACACCTCCAGGCGGAGCACTCGAAGGTCGCCACCGAGAACTCCTCCCTGAAGGACACGATAACATCAAAAACCGAATTAATAGAGAAGCTCAAAAACCTCAAGAATAAGCAAACGAAGGCGATCCAGGACCTGGAGTCCAAGAACGAAGCCTTGAGGGCCACCTCCAGCCTCTCCAAGACCCAACAGGAGGAGCTCCTGGAGCTCCAGCAAAAATTATCCCAGTTATCCTTCGAGAACTCTGAACTATCATCAAAGCTCTCGCTTGTGGAATCCTCGAGGTCTGAAATGGAAGCCCAACGTGAAGAGCTTCAGGATCTAAATAAAAAGCTCCAAAGTCTCCAGTCAGAGTCTAACGACTATCAACTTGAGATAAAATCCCTGAAGGAAATCCAGAACGATCTCCAGACAAAAGAGGAGGATCACAAAAGTAATATGAAGAAGCTGGAAGAACTGAACTCATCTCTTCAATCAGAGATCTCGAGTCTCAAAAATGATCTCCAGGAGCAGTTAACGATCTCGAGATCGAGTCTGGAAGAAAAAGAGAGATCTCACAAGGAGAGGGTGCAGGAATTGGAGAGAGAAAGGGAGAGAATTCAGAGAGAGAACGCCATTCTGGTTGAAGAGAAATCGAAAAAATTATCTGAGAAGGAAAATGAGGTGAAAGAACTCCTGGAGAAGGAGTCCTGGACGAGTCAGCTGATGGAGGAGTTGAGGAAGAGGTCGGAGAGGCTGGAGATGATTGAGAAATCCGAGGGAATGCCCCTGGGACAGCAGTCGTCGACGACAATCAGAAGTGAAGAAGAGAAGATCGAGGGTGAGAGACTTCACAAATTAATCGAGGAGCTCCAGGGGCAGCTGCAGGCCATGGAGTCCAAGCTGATCACCTCCCAGGCGAAGGAGTCACAGCTGGAGATACTCAATGAGGAGTTGAGGAGGGAGATGGAGGGGCTGAAGGGTCTGATGCAGACGACCGAGGAGGAGAATGGGGTCAGGATGACGCAGCTGGTGAAGGAGTTCCAGGCTCAGCTGCAGGACAAGGATGGGGAGATCCAGGCCGCCCTGGACAAGAATTTCGAGAGGCAGCAGGGGTACGAGTCAGACCTGGTGCAGCAGTACAGGGAGCAGCTTAAGGATTTCCAGGTGGAGCTGACTGCCAAGAGCCAGGAGATCGAGAGCCTCAGGGGCAAGGAGAAGGAGGTGCAGAGGCTTGTGGACACCATCACCAATATCAAGAGGGAGCATGCTAATGAAGTCAATGAGGTGGAGAGGAAGTGGAAGAGTGTCAAGGCCAAGAGCGAACAGCTGGAGGGCATGGAGAAAGAGTGGCAGAAGGATAAATTTGTGAGTTGTTGGGGTTTTTTAGAATTTTTGAGAGGGGAGCAATGATTTGCTTTTATTTTCTGCTTTAACGTTTTTTTGGAATGTTTTATCTGGTTTTTTTGTGATTTTGGTTGTTTTCTTGGTTTCAGAATGAGGATAATGTAGGGCAGAAGGAAGAGGTAATTTATTTTATTATTTTTGCTTGTTAATGGAAGCTTTGTAATCGCTCCAATTTAAGTTTACAATTTTTTGTGTTAGGGCGACTGAATATGGTCTATAAAGTCCCAATATGCGATTTTTATTTGTCTTGTTTCTTCATTTTTTTAAATTTTCTTATAAGGGATCAATCGAATTGCATAAATTTTTTCATGAATATAGACTTTAATAAACTCTATTGATTGGCACCAATTAAATTTTAATTTTTCATACAACTTTGACAAAATTGATATTTTTCTAAAAGTCGATTTTTCAACGATCACTCAAAAAATTGATAACAATATCTTCTTGTCGCACAATTCGTTGAAAGAACGAAATAATACGCAAAATTTTGATGACATTTTAATTGATGATAGTACTATCACATGAAAAAATACAAAAAGAGAATAGTGAAAAAAAAATTGAAAAAAAAGAGAACCTATTCGGAAGCAAATTGCTAATTTATTGGCAACAATTACTATACTCATTTATAAAAAAACGCGATTATCCATTTGTTCTTCTGGGATTTAGTTTCGTCAGAGACGCCTCAGCCCCTAAAATGCTTAGGTAAACTTTCTCACAGTTTCTTTTTTTGCAAAATTGATATGCCCAATATTTTTTTTACAACATTGACATTGACAATGCTTGCAATGAGTCAAACGACTTGACAGTCCTCCCCGAAAATTCAAATCTTTCTGATAGAACACGTATTCGTTTAAAATAACGAAAAACAAAATTGCTGGATTGAGAAAAAATGATTTTTCGATTACAGGAATTGGAGAATATGTCGAGAGTAGCTATGGCTGCAGTTCAATCGAACACAGGATCATTCCACTCTCTCCAGCAGACCCTGGTCTCTCAGAGACGAGAACTGGCTGAACTCCGGAAGATAGTGAAACTGAGGCACGACGCACTGGAGGACTCGACGGAAATCGAGTACCTCAGGAACATTCTCTACGAGTACATGATGGGACGAGAGACCCTCGTCCTCGCCCGAGTGATAGCTGCAGTGGTGAAATTCGATCAGGACCAGACGAACAAAATCCTAAAAAAAGAAGAGGACAAGCTGACGCTCCTGGGGTCTCTGAGACTCTCCTAAGGGTTTAGAATTTTTTGAGGATGAGGATTCAATAAAGACCGCTGATATGAAACTGCCAGAACGTAAATGGTGGTCCAGAAACCGAAGGGGTGATGAAACGAGAGAAATTTTGAAATGAAAAATTCAGGTGCTTTATTTCGTTGATATCTCCGGCTCGAGATTCACCAAAAAGCCTAAAAAATCCAGAAATTATCCTCAAAAATTCTACAGTTAGGCTCGAAAATCACGAACAAAGACCTCCAGATCTCCCAGATGGTTGAAAAAGTATAGAACAAGTTGAAGTTGAATAAAAATGATGGGGTGAAGCAAGTTCAGAGGGAAACGCAGGGGAAATTGATGGAGTTGCAGGAGAGAATGGGGTCCAAACATCATGAGGAAGTCGAGAAGAATAAAAAATTGGTGGAAAAAATTGAAACTTTGCAGGAAGAAATAGATTTTCTGCACAAGAACAGGGAGAAGAATGAGAAATTGAGGGAAAAGAAGAGAAATGAGAAATTAGACGAGAAATCTGAAAAGTTAATTCAAAGAAAAAAATCATATTTTGCAGAAAAAAAACGGGAGACTTCCAGGATGAAATGAGAAATCGAAGGAATTGGCTGATTAAACTGAATTTTTACAGAAAGACAATGAAAAAATAAGCGAAACAAATGGAGTTTACGAAGCGGAATTATCAAAAGCTAGAGAAACTCGAAAAAATGTCAAGGACAGAGGAATAATATTCCAAAGATTGATTCAGATACTCTCCCAGATGCTCGAAAGGTCCAGAACATCGATGGAGCCACGAGAAAAAACAAACTCATCGCAGAGTTTCATTGATAACCTGAACTTCAAGATCTTCGATCATTCAAAATTAAAACAACAACTTTCTCAATTAGAAAACAAACTAGAACTTGAAAACCAAAAACTGAAGGACGAAATGTTGAGCCAAAAACCCCAAACCGAAGAGATCAAAATTTGGAGGTAAAAAATTTTCAAAAACGAGGGAATAATGAGAAAAATCGTCAGGACTAGTAGATCCCCAGCAAAAATATTCATCTCAACTCGAAGAATTAACAGATCTCAAAAATCAATTAGAAAATTCCCAGAAGATGTTGGAAGTCTCTCACGAGGACTCCAATCAGGAACATCCCCTACGAGCACACGAACGGATTGTTCGTCGAGAATTCAATTTTCCACGAAAAATGTCTCCCCAAATTTTCCCAAAAACCCAGCGGTTTCAGAGATATTCAAGAAATAGTACACGAATCTTTCTGAATTCTCTCTTCATTCCTAGATTGACGAATTAATAGAGACTGAAGGCCGGGGTTTAGCTAGCGAATGATCAATCTATAGCTCCAGTGATGCAATTAACTTAATAATTGACTAATTCAGTGATTACGTTGTGAATTTATGTTGAATGTTTGTGTAAATATCGCAAGATTAAGTTTTTTTATGAAGAATTTATTGTGCTCTTGCTTTTAATTATTGTGGACAGGAGGAAAAAGAAATTTATCCGATAAAATAAGGAGAAGAATGCATAATTTACCAATTATTCTTCTTATTTTGATCGACGAACGATGGATTTTCTAGTGAAGTAGGGAAAATAATAGTGTAATTATCACTTCGCTCATCCCCACATTCAAAACCCTAGCAGAAAAATCTAAACGAACACTGTAAATATGTAAACCTGTAATTGTACAACAATTTTAATTAAAAAATCAAAAGCCTTACAACGTAAATTCTCCTAATTAACAGCATTTCCCACAATCTCCTCGACATTCTTCTCGTCTTTCCCCTCTGTTTTCTCTTTGAGCTTCTTCTCGAAGAACTCCTTTCGATGAGTGAGGGACACATGCTTCTGTCTGAAGAAGAAGATCTCGTCTCCGTCTGTATTGAAGGCCTTGGCCCCTTGTGCCCCGATCAACGTCCTCATGGCTTTATTACGCGCCAGAGTCTTCTCGTAATACTCGATGGCCCCTCGGATGTATTTTTCCCCTAACTGAGCTAGATGTTCATCGGCATCGGACTCGTAGTACCTGGTGAATTAAGAGCGAATTATTCCTTCTATTTTTCAATGTTATCTGGATTTTTTTCATCTTTCGTAATCCAAAATTGTCAATCGAGCGGTACATCATGTAGAAATTCCCAAAAATTATGATAGAATGATAAAAAAAATGGAAAAAATTCTGAACTTTTTCAAAGAGTGTTTTTAATTGAGATTCAGAATGAGTTGAAAAAAGTGGAAATTACAAATATCTGATTCGCTGTGGTAAATTATCTATTAACTGTCATTTTCCATGGTGGATAACAAAACACTAACTCCTCATGGGAAGTGACAGCTAGGTATCTCAATTTTTAAAACAGTGGTATGTAGTCATCTGCCATTTTTATGTGATAAAAGTGTGATTAAAAAATTCTCCAAAATATAACAACTTTTTTCAAAGAGCCTTTTCCGTAATAAATGTCTCTGTGCAGTGTGGGAGAAGATTTTCGAAATCAGTCTTCCCCTCGCATGATATTGGGTGACAGGCCGCCATTCGTCACCGTAAATCAGATACATTTTTCAATTTCTTGTTAGTCAACTTATTCTGAATATAAATTAAAAATGCTCTTTGAAAAAATTAAGAATTTTTTCTACTTTTTTTTTATTATTCATTCATAATTTTTTTAAACTTCTGCATGATGCAGGACTTAATTGACAATTTCAGATGACGAAAGATAATACGGCCGGGCCTTAAAGAGATGAAAAAATATATAAACAATTTAACTATCTTGTGACATGAAACAATCATTTGGTGTGAAATAATATAATTCTAGCTGTAAAAAATCATGGTACAAACGTCACACTAAATTATATGTTCCTTTGATTGTTTATCGTCACTTTTATTATTTTCAAAAATAAATGAAAGGATAAAAAATACAATGAACCGCCAGCTTTGGCCGGGCTACGCTGTAGTTTCGGATGTTTTCAGTTTTTAAATGTTTCAACTAAAAAAAATTTGAAAAAATTCATACCCAGTCCGTATTATCTAAATTAAATTTCGCAAAATATTTATATTTTTTCAAACATTTCCCTCTTACAAATAAATAATCAAACTTGTTTGCAAAACGGGGATTATTTTTCATGTGTCAAAAAATTTCGATTTTTTCACATCTAATGAAGAAACATTCAGATTTGATTTTTTGATTTCAATGGAAATGTGGAATTTCACATAAGACACTGGCTTAAATCTTGATTTTTAAACATTTCTCTTTTGAAAAACCAAAACGATAATTAAATTGCGAAAAAAATTAGAATTCCGAATCTAATCGAGTTTTCTGCAACTTTTTTCGTTTTCAATAATCTTTGAATTTACCGTAAGGGTAGAGCTCCTTTAAAAACACCAACGACCCACCTGATTATTGTGTCTTTCTGCATGGCCCAGACACCCCAGAAGAACAGAGAAGTCAGCGAATAAAGAATTACCCGCACGAGCCTGGGCCTCGCGTAAAGATTCATCGAAGTGTTTATCTTAGAAGCTAGGCCATAACAGCTCCCAGTCAACACCCCCGAGGTCAGCGAATTACACATGATCCGGCTGTTGTCCGTCATGAGGACTTCCCTCCCAATCGCGTACTTCTTCGCGTCCTCGGACAGGACGAGGGACTGCAGAAGCTGCCGGGCGTCCTCTCGGTTCCAGTTCACAGGCTCGTTATTTATGAAAATGTCGTTCTTATTTATGGAGGAGGGCGAGTCGTAGGTGAAGTTTATCGGAAGGCCGATGTAGGTGCCCTTGCGGGAGTTCAGGGCGCCTATGTTGTAGACGTCGAATCCGAAGACCATGAAGGACTTCGAGATGACTTTGTAGTAGTCGTTGAGGGAGAGGTCCTCCAGGACTGAGGTGAACAGGGTCTGGAGGTTCTCGGGAACTGGCATGGGCTGACTGTTCCTGGAAGATTCGAAAATAAGACGAGTATTTAGAAAAAAAAATGACATTTATCGGACCAGTAGTTTGGGAGATATCGAGCAAGTGTTTCTAGAGTTGGAGGAGAGAATGGGATTAACCCTAGCCCTAGTTGGTCACTACGCGACCCAGCGATTGGTCACGTCCGCGGGAAGCGCCGCCGTGTTATTTAGGCCTGAACGTTGCCAAATTCACTGTACACTGCCCGGGCGCGTTTAGCGAATTTCCGGCAACGTCGCGTAACAGGCACTTTGATTTAACATGGGAAAAAATAATTCCTCTGTTAGAAATAATTTGTTTTTTTAGGAATTTTGAGAATTATGTTGTTCTATAACTATTAAATTTTTTTAGACACTTTGATTGGAAAAGTCGATTTTTTTTTATTTTTCCGATCAGTTAATCAATGGCAATGCAAGAAAAACGACGCGCTGCGGTACTTCCCTCATATGGTGACCAATCTAGGGTTAAACATCATGAAGTAGTTGAGAAGAATACAAAATTGGTGGAAACAATTGGAACTTTGCAAGGAGAAATTGATTTTCTGGAGAAGGAGAGGGAGAAGAGTGAGAAATTGGATGAGCAGTTGAAGAAATTAAGGGGAAAGGGGGATCTTTTCCACAGGGAAAAGGAGAAAAACAAGAAATTAGAGAAGTTGAAGGAAAAAATTGATATTTTGCAGAAAGAAAATGAGAAACTTTCATTATGAAATGAGAAATCGAAGGAATTGGCTGAAGAAATTGAATTTTTACAGAAATAGAGGGAAAAAATGAGCGAAACAATTGGTGTTTACGGAACAGAATGATCAAAAGCTCGAGAAACTATCGAAAAAACGGAAAACCCACGAGAAAGAACAACAAACTCATCGCAGAGATTGACAACCTCAACTTAAAGATCTTCGATCAGTCAAAATAAAAACAAGAACTCAACTCAAAGAAAAATCCAAAACCAAGCTAGAACTTGAAAACCAAAAACTAAAGGGCGAAATGTTGAGTCAGAAAACCGAAATCGAAGAGATCGAAATTGTGAGGTAAAAAATTTTCAAAAACAAGGGAATAATGAGAGAAAAATCGTCAGGACTAGAAGATCTCCAGCAAAAATATTCATCTCAACTCGAAGAATTAGCAGATCACAAAAATCAATTAGAAAATTCCCAGAAGATGTTGGAAGACTCACGAGGAATCCAATCAGGGACATCCTCTACGAGCACACGATGGGATTTTGCCTAGAGAATTCAATTTTCCACGAAAAATGTCTCTATATTCTCTATATTCAAGAAATAGTGCACGAATCTTTCTGAATTCTGTCTTCATTCCTAGATTGACGAATTACTAGTCTAAAGGCCGGGATTTAGCTAGTGAATGATCAATCTATAGCTCCAGTGATGCAATTAACTTAATAATTGACTAATTCAGTGATTACATTGTGAATTTATGTTGAATGTTTGTGTAAATATCGCAAGATTAAGTTTTTTTATGGAGAATTTATTGCGCCCTTGCTTCTAATTATTGTGGCTAGTCAATGATCAATCGACAGCTCCAATAATGCAATTAACTTGATAATTGAGTGAAAAAATAAAAGAAGAGAACAAAATCATAGATTCAAATTGAAAAATTCATGTGTCTTACTTTCTCAAAGCAACGAAATCACGATATTTTTCCAAAAAAGCTGTATGTGGTAGCCATGCCGCAAGGCCGGTTCCACAGGCAGCAACAGTTGCTGATATAGAAACGAATGTTTTTCCTGCAGGTGTGAGGAACCATGCTAATCGATTCGCCATCGTTAATTCTTCCTCTGAAAATGTTTAAAAAATAATTCAATGTCTACAATATCTTTTGATCAAAAAAATTAAAAATCAGGTTCACGAAACATCGGAAAAATCCTTCAAAAGCAGTTGATTTTCAACAATTTTCTAACGACTAATTACCTCGAATTCCCTAGTGTCTTCCACAGTTCTCAAATAATTATTATTCCATTTAATTATTCTATTGTTAACACAATCCACCGGCCATTGATTCTCATTCCGCCAGGGGAATTGATTGAGAGACGAGGTTATGTTTAATTAGTCGGTAAGAAAGAATTCTTAATTTATCAAAACCTTGTCAATAACAACGATTAGGAAACGATGGGGTAAAACCGATACTTTTTACTTTTTTTCAAATACTAATGACTTATTGAATTATTCATGAAATTGTATCATTTTTTTTTCAATAAAAAGGGCAATTCTTCCCCCTTGTGATGAGTCTAGACTGAGCTCAATTGATAAATATGAGTTATGAATATTTTTAAAGAAGTGAAAAGTGTCCATTTTACCCCACCGGCCCCTAAACGTAATCAAAAATTCATTACAAAAATTAATTTTAATTACCGTTATGATTGTTTACTCATTTTTATTGTTATTAATCACGATTGATGATAATTATTTATTTATTTCAGTAGCAAAGTGCTAAAACGATTCAAGTCGATTTTGACTATTGGCCAGTTTTCAATGAATATCGCGAAATCTAAGGGAGATAGCAAAATTTTTATTATTACCTTTTTTGTAGCCCTCAATTTGCCCTACAAAAAAGGTTATTACGAAAATTCTGTTACTCCCTCAGATTCGGAGATATTTTTCGAAAATTCAGCTGAAGCAGAGATCGGCAAAATCATAAAACAGAATTCAAATGATTTTATTGTACATAAAATCAGGTAACTTTATAGTACAATTTTTCAAATTTTAAATTAATCATAAATCAATTTTTCCGATTTCGCTAATATTTTATAAATCTGTAATCAATTTCTCAAGAATGACGATTATTTGATTAATTGAAAAATCAATTTCAGATATTTAGAATTCACTGTTTAATCATAATTGAGAATGAAAAATTATTTTCAAATGTAAATCAAAAAGTAAGGAGCCATGATTACTTTTTAAAAAATTACTTAGTAACAATTTTTGTCGATCCCTGAGCTAAAGACTGAATCATCTTAAATCGTTTTACTGCTCTGCTGCTGACTTCGCTTTCGTAATTAATTTTTATAAGACATTTTGGCTGTAGTATTTTTTTAGCAAAAATCAATCATTCGAATTTCTTGCGATTTTTTCAACAGGGAGACTGCCGCCATCTGTCAACAGCATCATGACTCGAAAACATAACCCCAAATTGAGGGAAAAAGAGTGGATCAACACTTGGGACAGAGAGAATTCATTTATTTAATTAAAAAGGCAAAGTAATTAAAGGTGCACGATAAATTAACGAACAGGGGATTAATTGTGTTGATAATCGACTGAAGGTGAGCGATTTTATCGTTGAATGATTGTTGGAATGATCTTTAATCCCCGGCGTCATTGTTTGTTTTTGTTTTTTGAATGAATTTTCATTTTATTTTTTTTTTCTTTCACCAATTATTGATATGGTTTTGTACCTTCAAAAATTTAATTTTGTTGAGGCTTCTTATATGGCTTTCTTATCATTCAAATGGCGTCACAAAATTCTTTCCATTTTTTTCAAATTTTATTACGTTTTCAACGTGAATTTTTAAATTTTGTGAGTTTTTGATAAAATTTTGCATCTTAGCGGAGGTCCAATTTTTTTATTGGGTTTTTAATATATATTTTCGACGGAAATTTTTCGTTCTTTCGATTGAGCATGGTGCCAATTAGCTCACATCGTCGTAAAGGTTTTAAAATCGTCAAAATACTAGAAAATTGTGCGTGGTACGCGCTTCCCCGACCTCGGGTGAAGATCTTTTTCTTTCCTTACCCAAAGTGACTATTTTTACGAACCATACTGAAAAATTAGACCAGTATTCGGATCCGTTCTATCCAAAAATATTTTTTTTCAAATTTCGTTCTAAGAAAAGTTTCCCAATTTCTCATTTTTGAATTTTTTCCTTCTAAAATTCATTATTTATGGTCCATGAATGGTCGACAAATGATAAATTTTGAAATGAAAAAATTGAAAAATTGAAAATTGGCAAAAATTTTCAAAACCAAAATTTGAAAAAAAAAATTTTTGGATAGAACAAACCCGAGTCCCAGTCTAATTTTTCAATATGTTTCGTAAAAACAGTCGCTTTGGGTAAGGAAATTAAAAAATATCCAATCGAGATGGGGGAAGGGGCTACCGCCCAAAATTTTCTATTTTTTTTTGCGATTTTAAAGCAGTTCCGATGATGTAAGCTGATTGGCACCATACTCAATCGAAAGGACGGAAAATGTCCGTCGAAAATACTTTTTAAAAACCTGAAAAAAATTAACTTCTGGTGAAACCCAAAATTTTGTCAAAAACTCACAAAACTGAATAATTAACGTTGTGGGCGTAATAAAATTTGGAAAAATTTGAAAAAAAAATTTTGAGGCCTTTTGCATGATAAGAAAGCCATATATAAAGCTTCAACAAAATTAAAATTGTCATGTCATTATCCATTCACTATTTCCTCTCTATCAGACTCATCTCTTAATCTTTATTAAAAACGCTCTTTGAAAATGTTCATTTTTTTTCTACTTTTTTTTATTCTACAATCATAATTTTTCGGGACTTCTGCGTGATGTAAAACCCAATGGAAATTGTGATATATTTTACATTACAAAGGTGGAAAAACAATCGAGATAACGTCCGAAAGATAATCCACGCGGGCCTTAATTGAGGAATTGAGAAATGTTCGATTGATTTGAGAAACTTAGTCGATTCATTCGATTTTTCAGGGAAAATGTCGGGGGGAATGTTGTACGGTGGTGATGAGATTGGAGCCCTGGTGTTCGACCTGGGGCACCACTCGTTGCGAGTGGGCTATGCCCAGGAGGACACACCAAAGGCGGAAATTCCAGCTGTCGTTGGAATCGGTGAGGACACGAATGGCGGGAGCAACAAGGGGGAGCCCATGGATGTGGATGATAAGAAGCCGGACAGTAACATAACGCAGTCCAAGCCGAAGTACTACATCGACACGACGATTCTTCATGTGCCTAGACCAGGTGGGAATATTAGAATATAGAATAGAATAGAATTCATTGCTGCTTATAGAATACATAGCCCCAAATGCAGAGGGGGAAAGATAAAATACAAATCATACAGAAATTTGTACAATGCCTGATGTCTGATTTCCCTTATTGTATCTTGTCTTTCAGTATGTTTATATTTGGCCCTACGATCTGTGTATGGGACTCGATAATCCACGTCATTAAATTCTGATGCGTTTTTGGCTAGTTTATCAGCCTCCTCGTTTCCCTCAATTCCCCTGTCCCCCTGGAGTTTAAAAATGCAAAAAATTCCAGGCATGGAGGTGGTCTCGTACATGAAAGACGGTATGATCGAGGACTGGGATCACTTCGAGAAGGTCCTGGACTACACCTACTCAAAAGTCATTCAGTCTGACGCTGAGTACCACCCAGTCCTCTTCTCCGAGTCCCCCTGGAACATTCGCAGCAAGCGAGAGAGGCTCACAGAGCTCATGTTCGAGAAGTACAATGTTCCTGCGTACTTTCTTGTGAAGAATGCAGTGCTCGCGGCTTTTGCCAACGGCAGAGCCACTGGAATCGTCGTGGACTCTGGGGCAACTCACACATCAGCTGTTCCCGTTCAGGACGGTTTCGTCCTGACCCAGGCAATTGTCAAGTCACCCCTGGGGGGCGATTACATCAGCATGCAGTGCCGGCAGTATCTTCAGGAGAACGACATCGATCTGTCACCTGCGTACATGGTGGGGAGCAAGGAGATCGTCAAGGATCACGAGAAGCCCAGGTGGACTCCCAAGAAGGGAATTCCAGAGGTCACCAAGTCATGGCACAATTACATGGTGAAAAAACTCATTCAGGACTTCCAGGCGACTGTTCTACAGATCTCTGAGACACCTTATGACGAGAAAATCGTGTCCACTATTCCTGCGGTTCAGTATGAATTCCCAACGGGGTACCATCAGGTGAAGACAATTTTTCTAGTCATTTAAATGGCCTTGGTAGTTTAAAAAAATGAATGAAATGAGGGGATAACTTTGCACGATGAATTTTTATCCAAAAGGGGGAGAAACAATCTGAAGGATGGCTTGAAAAATTTGATCATTCTCTGAAAACTGGACGAAACGAGTTGAAGGTGATATGATGGGGATAAATGATTTTAAGAAATGTTTATAAATGCGAGGTGGAGGCACCACCATCTTGCTGGAATACCTCCCTCGGCCGCAAGTTTCTAAGATGGCGGCAGCTCCACCTGGCATTTTTAAACATTTTTGTAAATTAAATGAAACAAGTTAGAAAAATCAAATTTAGTTGATGAAATTCTGTATGATGAACAATTTTTTCAAGCCATCTTTCAGATTTTTTCAGACATTTATTTGCATTTTGCACAGAATTATTTATTTAAACATTCGGTGTTTATAAATAAATAATTGAAATTGTTCCTACTATTGGAAACCTTATATTTATAATGGAAAATGTATTGTCCATAAATTATTTATAGAAAATGCTCGTAATTTTAGAAATTCGAATTTTTTAATTATTTCATCAGTCTTCCTCCAAAAGTAAACATTCTAGTTTTTGTGAAGACTTTATATTAAGGATAACCAAGTATCTTTTACAGTTTGGTCAGACCATACTATAGATTAACCCATTTTTAATCATCAAATTTGGCAATCAAATTGCGTGAGAAAAATTTGAAAAAAATCATGAATATTCTGCGTCATGCAAATTATATTTTGCCCAGAATTATTATTTTTTTTAAACATTCGTTGTTTACAAATAAGTAATTGAAATTGTTTAAACTTTTGGAAACCTTATTTTTATGGTGGAAAATTGATTGTCTATAAATTATTTATAGAAAATGCTCGAAATTAAAAAAAAAATTTTAATTATTTCATCAATCTTTCTCCAGTAGTAAACATTCTAATTTTTTCAGATTGAAAAAATATTTTCTAACGGTTCAATATCGCGATTCAAATTCAGACCTGCAAAGTTCAAATAATGAGATTCTTGTCGGGAAACTTAGGGTCAAATGGGGCTCAAATGAAAGTTCGGATGTTCGACTATAAAAGTAGAAAAGCATGTCACTGGAGAAAAAATAGCCAAAGTACTAGAATATCCTTAGGTCATAAGACACGTTTTGTAAAGAATTTATATTAAGAAGAAAAAAAATTACGAAAAAAAATTTTTTTATAGGATTTCTCGACCGAGAGATTCAGGATACCAGAGGCCCTGTTCGACCCCAGTGTCGTTCAGATGAGAGGAGGCCTGGTGGGTAACACGATGCTGGGCTGTGGACACATCGTCACCACGAGTGTTGGCATGTGCGACGTCGACGTGAGACCTGCGTTGTATGGAAGTGTCGTCGTCACTGGAGGAAATTCCTTCATTCAGGTAAATTAAATTTTCTCAGGGGAAATGGGGGCAGAATGAAACCCTAAACAAACAATAATTTTTAATTTCACCCACAGGGATTCCCAGAACGCCTCAACCGTGATTTATCGATGAGGATTCCCTCCAGCATGAGATTAAAACTCATCAGTGCTAATGGCTGTGCTGAGAGGAGATTCGGCGCCTGGATAGGAGGATCGATCCTCGCCTCCATAGGGACTTTCCAGCAGATGTGGATATCCAATCAGGAGTACGAAGAGAGTGGGAAGAGCCAAGTAGAAAGAAAATGCCCTTAAACCCTCAGAACTCCCCAGTAATAATTCTTTCATTCACCTTCTTGCAGTGAAGTGTCAAATTCCCTCCAATCTAACATTCGTCGTGGAAAAACATGGACTTATCTCGATAACGAGTGGTTTTAGAGTAAAATGTGAAAAAACATTTTCTATAGAGAATTAAATTTCCTACGAAAAAGGTGGAGACACATTTTCTTCTAAATCCAACGGTTTCCGAGATAATGAGGAAGTTGGAGGGATTGAATTGGAAAAAAGCATGCTACTGTGACTTTTTATTTTAAATACCGAATTCCCTCCGTAATGAGTGGTTTCAGAGGCAAATGTCGGTGAACATTTTTTGTAGAGAATTAAATTTCGCACAAAAAAGGTCTGGATGTTTTGTCTCCTAGATCCAATGGTTTCTGAGGTACTTTCACATTCAAATATTTTTTTCACTTCACTGCACATCAATTTTTCACTCAAAAAAATCGAACAGGTTCCCAAGATAATTATTAACAGCGGAACATTCACTTCAGATCAGGTGGCATAGGAATCGTGTAAAGACGTGTTTTGTAAAATATAAAAGGAAATCGTAACAGTACGATTGAGAGAGAATTATTTTTCCTGTGTTATCATTGGGGAAAGACTTCCGGCTGCAATTGTCGACAATTACCTTTTGCTATTGAATATTCATGGGATCAGTTCATGGGGCAGGAGTCTCTTTGTTGAGTTTCTCCCACTATTAAAAGTTGAATCGAAGTATTGAAGTTGTAATTGTCGTAATTGCGATAATTTTCCTGGGGTGGAGAACTGGAGGAAGAGGGTGGCAGTCAGTTGGAGGTAAAGATGGGAAAGCCTCTGGACATCGAGGATTTTGTCATGATTAATAGGAAAATTCTCGAGGTGGTGGGACTTTATCCTAGGAATTGTGGGAGATATGTCTGTTGTGTGGTTTTTATGAGTCTTATTGTTGTACCTGAGGCGCTGGAGATCTACTATCGTCGAAGTGATTTTGATGTTGTTTTGGAGACGAGGTAATTTGTAAATTCGATTGATTCGTTCGGATCAAAAACAATTTTCAGAATTTTTTCCAATTTTTTTTTTAAATAATCTTTTGATCAATTTTTCTGGTGAAAAGTATTCGATTGTTTGATTTGGATTGAAGAATATTTTTGATGACGATTTTCATGACGCAAAGTTTTTACGCCATTTGAGTAATTTTTTTACTCCCGAGGCCTCCTAAGCATTGTTTAATTCTCAACTCTAAATAATAATCATATTTTCATTAATTTATACGAGAAAAATGTACTTGATTTCTAGTTCTGTTCTTCTGACAATCATTCTCGCAATTCTTAAATCAGTCATTTGGATTTCAAGAAGAGATACTTCCGATTCCGTTGGCTTTCTCATCAATGATTATTGGAAGATTGCTAATCACCTGGGGGAGCCTGAGGATTTTTACAAAAGTGCTAAGTAATCGTCAACACAATAGGGGAGGTTGGGGTAAAACGGACACTCGACTTTTTTTAAAATGTTAATGAGGGGTTGAAATGTTGATAAAATTTAATAATTTTTTTTAATACAAAGAACAATTATTTCCCTTTGTGACGAGCCTAAACTGAGCTCAATTGATAAATTAGTTTCTGATTTTTTTTATTATTATTTTAAGTGCGAAAATCAACAGGATTTATTTACACTATCAGTAACGGTATCTTAATCTAAATGCTTACATTTTCCTTTCTCATGAAAATAAATAACTATATACATAATTTTTTTTTGCTTTCGTTAGTTTTTCAGATCTTTCTTTCCTTTTGAAAATTTTTTTGAAAAAATTGTGCAATATTGTCACGATTTTTGCATCTGTTGTTTTCATAAAAGGGGTGATTGAGTTTGTAGGTGGGGCTTTACATTTTTCAAGTTCCTTCTTAAGAATTATCCTTTCTGAAGTCAAGTTGGGACAGTGCCACAAAATGTGATCCAGATCTTGGCTTTCACAGCCACAGGAACAGCTCGCATCATCTATTATGTGGACCCGTTCTAGGGAGGCTTTCAAGTGGTAATGATTGGCCCTGGCTCTGTTGACTCATGCTCCTGAGTTATGAATAATTTAAAAAATTCTAGTGTCCATTTTACCCCACCCTCCCCTATATCAGTAAAATGCCAATCATCAATTTTCTCAACGTCTTGATTGATTCTAGAGCAGCAAAAGTCATAACCATGAGCTACTCATTTCTGATCTGCAATGCCCTCCTCTTCTTCTACAGCCTTCCTCTCCTTCATCTCCTCCCTCATCCCGGAAATTCAGAGCAATCTGAGAGATTGCGAGTTCCATTCCTGGCAACTTATCCCGAATTCTGTTACCACTCGCCTGCTTATGAGTTCGTCTACATCTCCCAACTGCTGGCAACGTCCACCTGTGCACTCATAATCCTGGCGACTGACACGCTGATTGCCACCGCGCTACTGCACACATGCGGACATTTCGCGATCATAGAGAGAAATATATCTGAATTGAATTTCGCCAAGTCGGTGGAGAACCTGGAGCAACGTGTGCGGGTGATCATCAAGCATCATCAGCTTGTCATCAGGTGATGATTATCCGAATTGAGCGCATTAATGTTCAAACTCAGCCTCCGACGATTTTTCGGTTGAGGCCGATTTTGATTATTAGTCAGTTTTCAATTAACCCTAGTCTGGTCACCTGACGGGGACATGCGACTTTAGTCACCTTCGCGGGAGAGTGTCGCCGTGTTATTTTTTTGTTTCCAGCAACGTCGCGCAACAGGCAATTTCATTTAACACGGGAAAAAATTGTTCACCCGTTGGAAATAATTTTTTTTCTCCCAGAATTAAGGATACAATAATGAAAAAAAAAAAACTAGAATTTTCCAGATACTTCAATTGGCGAATTAAATTTTTTTCAAATTTTTCCGGTCAACCAGTCGATGGCAAGGTGAATAAAACGACGTGTTGCGGCAATTCCCTCGCATGGTGACCAGTCTAGGGTTAATATCTCGGAATCTAAGGCAGATAGAATAATTTGGTAATGTGCAGTAATACATGACTCCAGATTAATTTCAATAATTTATACATCAAACTTCATGGTTTATCAGTACAAACAATAATATAAATTCTAAAAAAACGTTGCTCTCCAACACAGAGGCCCAGTACCTCAAGAATGTGTTCTGGTGGGCGGTTATGGGATTTATTTGTAGAGCGAATTGAAAGCTACGACAAAGGTCATTACGAAAATTTCGCTATCTCCCTTAGGTACGGAGATATTCCTCAAAAACTCAGCTGAGAGTTAGGGATGTGTTACACCCTTTTCGCTATAATTCACGTTTTTTGAATTTTTCTGGTAAATTGTTGATCGGATTGACGTGAAAAAATATACCGTTTTTACGTTTTATTATTACTTAATGACTCACGAAATTTCATGATTGTGCAATTATTTTCCTGCGTATTTTTTTAAACTTTTCGGAAATTCACAAAACTTTAGAAAAAATGCAGGAAAATGATTGCACTACCATGAAACTTCGTGAGTCAGTCAATAATGATAAAACGCAAAAGCGGTATATTATTTCGCGTCAATCCGATCAATAATTTGCCAGAAAAATGAAAAAAAAACGTGAATTTTTGGCCGAAAGGTACATCCTTAAGTCGACTTAAACCGTTCTGCCACTTCACTATTGAATTTATACAACAAATCAGATATCGAATAGAGACTGGGAAAGTGGACTCGGTTAGTGGATTTGGAAAAAAATTTCTGAAGACATTTTTTGTGGGGAATTTAATTTAGAAAAAAAAAGTTCAGCAGAGTGAGAAAATTGATTGATATTAGAAATTCTAAAGTTTAGATTCTCTGATCGCCTGGAGTTTCTCTTCAATCCGTTGATGTTTCTCCAAGTATTCGCCAGCAGTCTGATTATTTGCCTCGTTGGATTTCAAGCGCAATCTGTAAGAAGTCATCGAAATGAAAGTTTTTTCAAAATCTCAGCAAATTTTTAAGAAAACATTTTTATTATTTTTCTAACGAAGGGAAAACTTGATAAATTTCCGCAATACTGTTCATACCTGATGATGGCCCTCTTCCAACTTCTTTTGTTCTGCTGGCCAGGCGATGAACTCATAACTCAGGTAATAAAAAGAAATCATTAAAAAAAATTTTTAATTACAATCATCTAGAGTTCTAGAGTAAGTACAGCAACATTCTCGGCCAATTGGTACATCGGCCCGAATCACCTCCGGAAAGATCTTCAGTTCATAATCCTCCGATCTCAAAAATCAAACTTCCTCTCAGCTGGAAAGTTGAGTGCAATGAACCTCGAGAATTTTAGTGCAGTAAGAACATGAAAATCACACGACTAAATTCAAAAATACAAAAGTTTATTTACACCTTACAGAAAATTACAAACTTATGGATTAATCATTTATTTTTAGATCCTGAGTTCATCTCTCTCTTATTTTATGCTCCTCCGTAGCTTCTCTGAAAATTAACATGAGTGGAAAAATATAATTCTGACTGATAAGGATCTGTTTATTGCTCTGCACTAGTTGTACACCTCACGTTATTCAGTAAGAATATTCATTCGCCCTTTGGTATTTCAAATCCGGAAATTTTCCCGCCGTTTCTAAATCCTCCATTCTGATTGGTTATACTGTTGAGACACCATGCAGACTAAGTCCATGGACTTCCCCCTGAGTCTCTCTAACTCATTTTTCTTCTGATCTTCATGTCGAGTCAACTCTGTCCAAAAGTGCCTTCAAACCCTTCTGCTTCCTCCCAACCCCAACAATTCCCAATTTTTCGAATCATAAGTTACGGAGACTTGACCTATAATCCCTTGCCATCACAACTGCGCCCCCCACCCATAATACAGCTGACAAAGATTATCAATGCTCGTAGCATCGAGAATCAAACGACAGTGACAGTTCAAATGACAAAATTTTCCCGCCATTTCTTATCGGTCATTCTGATTGGTTATGCTCTTAAGACGACGTGCAGGTCAACTTCCATGGAATTCCCCTGAGTCTCCCTAACTCATATTTCTTCTGATCTCCATCACATCGAGTCAACTCTATCCAAAAATGCCTTCAAACCCTTCTGCTTCCTCCCAACCCCAACAATTCCCAATTTTTCGAATCATAAGTTACGGAGACTTGACCTATAATCCCTTGCCATCACAACTGCGCCCCCCACCCATAATACAGCTGACAAAGATTATCAATGCTCGTAGCATCGAGAATCAAACGACAGTGACAGTTCAAATGACAAAATTTTCCCGCCATTTCTTATCGGTCATTCTGATTGGTTATGCTCTTAAGACGACGTGCAGTTCAACTTCCATGGAATTCCCCTGAGTCTCTCCAACTCATATTTCTTGTAATCTCCATCACATCGAGTCAACTCTATCCAAAAATGCCTTCAAACCCTTCTGCTTCCTCCCAACCCCAACAATTCCCAATTTTTCGAATCATAAGTTACGGAGACTTGACCTATAATCCCTTGCCATCACAGCTGCGCCCCCCACCCATAATACAGCTGACAAAGATTATCAATGCTCGTAGCATCGAGAATCAAACGACAGTGACAGTTCAAATGACAAAATTTTCCCGCCATTTCTTATCGGTCATTCTGATTGGTTATGCTCTTAAGACGACGTGCAGTTCAACTTCCATGGAATTCCCCTGAGTCTCCCTAACTCATATTTCTTGTAATCTCCATCACATCGAGTAAACTCTATCCAAAAATGCCTTCAAACCCTTCTGCTTCCTCCCAACCCCAACAATTCCCAATTTTTCGAATCATAAGTTACGGAGACTTGACCTATAATCCCTTGCCATCACAGCTGCGCCCCCCACCCATAATACAGCTGACAAAGATTATCAATGCTCGTAGCATCGAGAATCAAACGACAGTGACAGTTCAAATGACAAAATTTTCCCGCCATTTCTTATCGGTCATTCTGATTGGTTATGCTCTTAAGACGACGTGCAGTTCAACTTCCATGGAATTCCCCTGAGTCTCCCTAACTCATATTTCTTGTAATCTCCATCACATCGAGTAAACTCTATCCAAAAATGCCTTCAAACCCTTCTGCTTCCTCCCAACCCCAACAATTCCCAATTTTTCGAATCATAAGTTACGGAGACTTGACCTATAATCCCTTGCCATCACAACTGCGCCCCCCACCCATAATACAGCTGACAAAGATTATCAATGCTCGTAGCATCGAGAATCAAATGATTCACCTGGCCCTTAACACTCAATTTAACCATGCTCTCATCCACCAGCTTGACGAACCCAGCCAGCCTCTGTTCGATATTCCTGACATTAGTTTCCGCATCAGTAGTGACCCTCTCCGTATAAACAAAAGGCTTAAGCACACTGTTGAGGGTTCTGGCCTGGGTCCTGAGGACCCTCATGGTGGTCTCACAAGACTTCCTGAAAGGGCCCTCATACTTGAGGGGCCCCATGGCGCTCACCATATTATGAGTTAGCCTGAAGGGCACCTTCTCAGGAACTTTCAGTGTCTCCCCTGTATTGAAGAGACAATTAAAGTCCACATGAACGGTGTCTCCACACTTGCAATCAAACAGAATGTTCTCGCCATGTCTGTCGCCGAGCCCCAACACATACCCCACCATGGACATGACAGCTGTTGTTCTGATGTAAGCAGTCCTGGCCTCGTACCACGCGTAGGGATCGGGGAACATCAGCCTGAACCAGTCCCCGAGGACCGGTGGATGCCTGGGCAGCAGCTTCTCCACGAACAGCTTCCTCTTGATTTCCAAGTCTGTCCTGAGAGGTGGAGCAAGCCTCCGCAGCTCCTCGCCACTCATGCCCAACTTTCTCTCCTTGTAAATCCCCAGTAGAGCTTGACGAAACGGCAGAAGGTTCTGGACCCACTCGATAATTCCGCATTTCTCGTGAAGAGGAACCACGGAATACGTCCGGATATAGAGACGTCTCTGCCTGGATTCCGGGTCCTTCTGGAGGTACTTGTTGACGATTCCGTTGAACTCCATCAGGCGAAAGTCCCTTCGAAGGTCGTCGTCAGGCTTGCACATGAAGCTGTAACGCTTGCCATCAGACCCCCGCAGCATGATTTTCTTCGGCTTCTGCGCAGACGTCATGACAGTAACCTCTTCTTCGATCCCCACGATGGATATTCGATCATTGCTGAGGGGATCGTATCCATCCGGCAGGGCTCCATCTGCCGGCAACGAGAGCCTGAAGAACTGAGTCGTCGGCATCATAATCGACCCAAAGCTCGGATTCTTCAGCAATTTCGGCAAGTCTTTACAGAGGATGGACACTTTGGTCCTCGAGACCCCGCCCTCGATCCTGAAGGCTGTGAATTCAATGAGCTTCTCCCACAGGAGCCTGAAAGACGTCATGATCTTCTTGATCGTGGGCTCCTGCAGACTCTTGTGATTCCAGATTCGATCCTTGAAGCTCAGAGGACGCTTGTCCGATCCCAAGACACTCGTCAACGGTGACTTCTTCGAGTTCAAGACACACGCCATCATCCACATGCAGTACTGAGGATGAGCTGCCATCAGCTTTACCAGGATCTTGATCAGCTGCTCCTGCACGTCCTTGGAGGGATGGGAGATCCTCGAGATAAGTTGACTGAGTGCTGTCAGCCACACGTACGTCGGCAGTCTCGTGCAGTAGGCGTCGATGATCTTCGTCATCTTCTCCACCATCTCCACTTGTTCCTTCTGAGGCCTCTCCGATGTGTGGACCTTCTCCGCGAAGTCCATCCAGATGGTCAGCATCCTCGGCATGGATTGGTGAACGTACTTGCAGCTGAATTGAAGCGATCTCCCGTAGTAATTGATGATTTTACCCAGGAGGCTCCCGTTTGGTTGTCCTGCTTGTGCTTCGATGAATGACTCCTGATACTGAGCAAGCGCCAAAGAGCTCTTGCCCCACGACTTCCAAGCGCTGTACGACTCCTCGTAGTACTTCATATTCGTCGTCTTATCGACGTTCAATGTCTCCTCGTTGTATCTCGCGAATAGCAATTTGGCTTTTGCAAAGTTCTTGCGGTCCGGGGGACACGTGTGGAGCTGGAGCTTTTGGTAATAATCTAGAGATTGAAAGCAATTAGTGAACGATCGCTTCAGGGTGATCAGCGCGTCCTCTTGGGAGTTCCTCTGCCAGTACAATTGGGCCAGCTCAATGTTCAGTTCCTGTGGAGGACAGAAATCTGAAGCTGACAGGATGTACATGTACGCTTGCTGATAGAGACCAGACTTTCTCGCTATCTTCGCACTCTTCAGCCAGATCTTCCCGATTTCCTGCTTCAGATTGGAGACGTCGGTTGTCAGCTGGTTTGACTCTGTCAGCTGGACAAAGAGGTCGAGGGTTGCTCGCCTCATTCCGAGCACTGATTCCACACCTCTTGAAGCTCTGATCAGCTGTTCCCTTTGCTCCCACTCCTTTAGGATTATAGGAAGGCTCTCGACGTTCTTCAACATTAGGTCAGTCGCTTTCTCGAACTCGTTGAGGATGTGGAGTTTCATGATGTAGGGGTAGCTCTGTTGGAGGTAGGAGACCCGATGAGATGTGGCTCCCAGCAGAGTGACCAGTCGTTTCTTGATGCCTTGGAGGTCAGGCTGGACGCCCCTCTTCAAATCCTCCAGCAGATCCCTCTTGACAGAGTTCTTGTCATCGTTCAGCTGTACGAAATTGGCTAGTCTCCAGAATGGCTCATGTTCCACCATCAGGGGCTCCAGCTCGGGGCTGGAGCCTAGAACGCCTTCAGTGAACTTCATCGCGGTGAACGGCTGGTCCAATCCCAAGTAGCAATGAATCATGCCTTGGATGAACTTGGGGGACACGAGACGTTGTGCCAGTTTCTCGTAGCAGATGGCTGCGTCCTGAAGCTGTCCAGTGACCTCATGGGCCACCACCAGTTGCTGAAGGGTCGGTGACTGGTCCTGAGTGGCGAGAATCCCTGATACTCCGTCAGGCTCCTCCAACTGCGTGTAGATCTTCGCAAGCAAACCACTTTCCGTCTGATCTGACAATCCTTTGTTCTTCGACGTCATGTGTCTCTCGAGGTACATCAGGGCTCGATGGTACTCGTGTGACTTGTAGCAGGCCTCAGCCAGTACAAAGCTATCTAACTGATCAACGAATCTCTGCATGAGGAGGTACTTCTGGTCTTTTTCCCTCCGCTTCTCTCCCAGCCACCTCATCACGTGGTCCAGCGTGGAAAACACCACCTGAGAGCACCTGATCCTTCTCGCTTCGTCGGACACTCTGGTGTCGCTCTTCTTGTCGTTGGTCTCTCGTCTCAGGGGACGACGGATCACCAGCTCTTGATCGAGAGTTTGATCCCCAGATTTGATCACCGCGAAAATCTCGGTGAGCAAACGATTTCTGTCGGTGTCAGAACCCTTCATGATGATGTGGGTGAAGATGTGGGGGATGCAGAACATCGTGGTGCGAGAGTCCCTTCGTAACGCAGGTTGACAGGCACTCAGGACTGAGAAGAGCTTTGGATCTTTTATTGTGAGGATCATTGAGCAGGTCCAGTTGTACAGCCACTTCTCGAAGGTCGACCCTGCGGAGGACCCGTACACCGGGGATTCTACAGTGTCAGGATCCGTCGCTGTGTGTTTGTATCTCGAGTTCAAAAGGGGGAGAATTCTCTCTTGAGTCGTTGGAGACAAGGAATTCCAGATTCTCGAGTTGGAACCGGTCGGAGAGATCTCGAAGGTCTTGAGGATCTCCTGGATTGCGAGGGAGAAGCAGTCGACGTTCTGAGTGATCTTCTCCATCTGCAGGGCTCTCACGAGTTCCTGGAGGACCTCGAGCGCGAAATCCTCGTTCATCTCCGGGATGAACTTGGAGTCGTCCTTGGAGACGATTCTTCGAGGAAGAAGACTCGGTTCGACTGCCCCGAGCTGCCCAAGACACTCGCCACATTTCAACCTGATGCTCTCGTCCTTATCTTGGCATCCTGCGAGCAAAGAGTCTAGCAAATCCACCACTAGAGGATGAACGTCGGTGTTGGAGAGGATCATGTCGTTCAAGTGACTCCTGTGAACCTCGAGGAATTTCTTCAGGTGACTCAGTGCCTTGGATCGCACCTCATCGGTCTCGTGTTTGATCCTTCGAATCCAGATCTTCAGCCCGGCCTCGGGGTCCCTCGGCGTCGACCTCGCGACCTGATTAGCGACAACTGACGAGATCCTCTTGTTGACTTTGAGATCATCGATGAAGAAGAGTTCAGATATGTGAGATTGCAAGGCTTCGTTGTTGTCTATCAAGAGGAATTCCATCATGGCGTTGGCCTCCTGGGGGCAAGAGTCGAGTAACGGAACCATGGAGACGCAAATAGTGGGTAGCAGGGGCCCTAGATCCTCCAAAGAAACATTCCGGAGGAAGCAATCCCACGCGTAACAAGACAACTTCTTGAACCCCGGCCTGGTGAGGTTCAGACATGTCCTCAAAGTCGTCAGGATCTTGTACCTGAGGGGGCTCAAATGTGTAGCCCCCATGAACTTCATCAGAGCCCCGAGCGAACCCAGCGCAGACTTCTGAGTCCCCTCATCGCTCATAGGTCCCAAATTAGTATCAAACTTGACTAGAACCGCGTGAAGATGAGGCTTCAGGTAGTTGGCGATACTCTGATTTGTCTCGAAGTTACCTTTATGATCGGCATCAAACTCGGAGATGACTTCAAGACAAATCAAGACCCGCTCCATCTTATCGTGAAAGTGGAGGAGAAGCTTTCGAAAGATTCCGATGAAGGAGATCTTCATCAAGTCTCTAGCCGAAACTCTCGCGAGTTTGGAGACGAGATCGAGGCACTCACTACCCACCTCCGGGGTCTCATTGAGGAAGAAATGAGGGCAGATCTGCTGAAAGTACTCGACGAACATTTCGCGTTCCTCAAGCGCCAGAAGATCGGCGATTTCTTTGAACATGTCTCTGACCCTCGGGACTTTGATCACCATCGGGACCAAGTGGCTCACAACTAGACTCCCTGCCTTCCTCATGAACTCTCGGGCCCCGGAGTACCCGATACAGTGAACAATCTTGCTGAGAGACATCGCGACACTGTGAGACTTCTCGACGAAGTTGTTCGCCAGCAACTGCGTCATCAGTTCAACGAAGTCCTTACGGTACCTCAGGAAGAGCTTGTAAGGGGTCAGTTTGCAATAGCCCGCGACCTCCTTGTAAGCAACCGTTGCGGACGCCATCGCGGTGTACGAAGACTCCGGATGCATGATCGTGATGATGAAGATGGCGCAGATCCTCCGTTCCGCGGAGTAGATCTCAGCCCTCGCGAACTCCTTCGCGGTGTTGACGAGGGACATCTGGAGGGGTTCGTTGGGCCTCTCTAAAGCCACTGTCAACCCGTCCCCGAGGTGATCGATCACCAGCTCGACGAAGTCCTTCAGGTCCTTGGGGGTGTCATCCTGAATCGATTTACGACCACCAAAAATCGACTTCAATTTGTTCCGCGCTAGTTTCGCAATCGAATTCGAAAGGTTGCTTCTTATCTCCACGTCTGGATCATTGATAAGAGCTAGCCAAGTCTTGCAGACGGCATTTGAGCTGAAGCTCTGGAGATGGTTCGAGAGTTTAACGAGATTCTTGCTCATCGCTCTACGAACACTCAAGACGTTGGAAGAAAAGAGGGAGAAGTAGGACGTGAATATGGATTCGTCGATGGGGAATTTATCGCTGAGTCCTGAGGAATGTTCGAAGTGCTTGACACAGACGTTGCAGTTGATGCTCCAGGTCAACGAGTCCCATTCGGGTCGGATCAACTGGGCTTTCCCAGACAGGAGGCAGATTATGTCCCCCAGGACCCTGGCCACTGCCTCCTGCAGGGCTACTCTCTGACCCACGACCGCGGGCCTCAGGACATGAAGGTTTATGTCATTGAAGGACGCCTCGGGATCGGTCAGCAGTAGAACTGAGTTCCGAACTGCTGACACCGATAACTCCGAGTCATTATTGGAAACGCAGGTGCTCAGGTACTTGATTCTGACCCTTCCCTTTCCAAACTCGCAGATCGTCTCGAGACATTTGAGCTTCGTCTCCATGGTCAGGGTCTTGAGAGACGTTGAGAGTCTTCTTGAGAGGTCCAAGTTACTGGAAGACTTGTCTGGAAACCAGGGGAGGAGGAGGATCTTCTGGACTTCGGCCTTTGGAAACTCCCCGATCATCATCAGCTCCATCAGGCACAAGTAACTTAACTCAATTTCCATGGAGTCCTGGGAGTTCTCCAGAAGGCCCCTGAGGCTCGCCATCAACGCTTCAGAGTCGTCGAATAGCTTTCCACGAATCTTCTTGCTCATCATCCACAAGGATATGGTCCTCCCGATCTCCAAGCATTTCCTGAGCTCTGGAAGCTCTTTCGTCTCGATCTTTTGGAGCATCAGGGCTTGAATTGACCGCCAGAGGGGGCTGGTGTTAGCCGCGATCAACTTTCCAGCTCTCGACGATGTATTCAACTGGTAGATGATAAAGTGAGCGATTATAATCGAGAACTTCGAGGACTTCTCATGCCACTTCAACAAGTTCTCGTCTTCAAGTGGCGAAGCAGATCGCGGGTGTCTGATCAGATGATTGCGGATCTTGTCGATCGCGGAATATTCCAATTCTTTGGAAGAGATTCGTCCAGAGGTCGTGGCTTCGACGACAGCGAAGCAGAGATCTACGACTTGAGACGTGTTTTTCAGGTTCGTCAGGAGATCCTTCAGGATCGTTGGGGTGCGATTAATTACATTGAAGTTGACGTTGTCAGGTGATTTGTTGGGGTTCAGGGTGTTCAGGCTTCTTACGACCTCGACGCAGAGGGAGACGAACATCTGGACCTTGTCATCGTCCAATGAAGAGAATGTGAGGAGCTGGGAGATCAGCTCCATCGATATCACCTTCGACTCGAGTTTGCATTTGATCATGATCTTGAGGGTTCGTTTCCAGAGGTCCTCCAGGTCCCAGGACGACACCCCAGACTTTATGATGATCTTCATTATGGAGATCTGAGTTGTGACGATTGATTCTCGCGTGATCGTCACGGGGAAGTGGGTGAGATCTAGTTTCTCGATGGAGTTGGGCTCGACGACGAACTGTTTTATGATTATTTGGCTCTTTCGGGGGTCTGACTCGAAGTCTAGGGTGTCGTCGAGGATCGCGAGGTACTCCTGAGTGATTCTGAAGAATTCAGGCAGGTGGAGACGCGAGAGAATTCGAAGCATGCAAGCCTGAACCTCGAGGCTATTCAGGAGGACCTGGGGGTTCAGGGGGTCGCCGATCACGTGGAAGAGGACGCCGAAGAGCCATCGCGTGAAGGCCGAGTACTGGGATTTCAAGGGGTCATACCTGGGGCTTGATTTGAAGGGGGGTATCAGGATGTTTATGAAGTTCTCGGCGGCACGGTTCAGGAGCTCCAGGAATGCCCGGAGGCTTGGCTCTGATTCTGATTTCTTGAGGGAGAAGATCTTTATCGCGGGGGTGTTGATCACTCCCCAGAGGGACTCGGCTACTGCGATTCTAGGGGGGAGAAACGAGCGTTTAGGGGACAGAATGGGAAATTCAGTCAACCTCTCGTTTCTTATATTGTCTTCGTTCCCTCTAATTTCTTATATTGGCATTTATAGTATGAGGAAAGGGGCGCGGCTCGCGCGCTCGTGATTTGATAGGGATTTCAGCAGTGAAGTGGTAAAACGGTTTAAGTCGACTTATCTCGTAGGTGAGTCCTTGGAGAATATCTTTGAATCTAAAGGAGATAATGAAATTTTCGTAATAACCTTGTTTGAAACGCAACTAAATTTCCAGAACATTCTGGTCGACCATCGGCCTACTTCGAAAATCTCCGGGACCCTTCGGGTCATTAGCCATAAGTCACCGAAACACGCACGAATCAGTTTAGGCTTAGCCTCTCACCGTACAAGTCTATCTCGGGCAAATCACCTGTACAAGTTTTATATCGCACCTCACCGAGTACAGTAGCTCTTTGAACCTCACCTAGCTCACTAGTAATTAAGTACATCACCGGTCTTAGTAAGATCACCGTTTTGTTCAGTACATCACCTCTGTTGATTAAATTCAGCCTAAAGTCAGTGACTCAACGAATTTACAGTGAAAGACAATCATCAATTTAATTAGACATTCAACTATTGAAAACCAAAGAGTGTAAATAGTTTTGACAAAGTGGTTCGATCCCACAAAATAAAGTGTGATATTTTAAATCCGGCTCATCAGTAATTTTCCCAACAACTCCCTCCACATTTTCACCCCACATCCACCCTAAATTTAGTCATTCACCAAACAAGCCTTTTTTGTGGAGCAAATTGAGTGCTGCAAAAAAGGTCTGGAGAAAAATTTAGCTAGCTCCCTTAGATTCCGAGATATTCAATTAAAACTGGCCGATAGTTAAAATCGACTTGAATCGGTTTACCACTTCGCTACTGATTTAGGCGAGGGGCTACTCACTCCATAATTGGGTGACACCATGACTTTGAAACGAAGTCGATTTCAGGTGATTTCGAGCGTCACGGGAGGTGATTTCATGATTTCAAGTGATTTCATTAATTCGAAATTTGTGATTTCAGAAAAATAAAATTAATAAATAATAGAGGTGGGGCAAAACGGGTTGTGTTAAATTGTGAAAATCAAAATTGACAATAATAACTGGAAAATAAAAATGATTTCGTTTGATTCCACTCTGTCAATCTTGAAGTAATGACGATGAAAAGCGGTCCATTTTACCATTTTCCACTATGGCAGTAAGTGTGTCAATTTCAAAATCACAAATTAATTGCACGGTTCGCACTACGCCAGTGCGTCACTGATTTCGGTGATTTCATTGATTTCAGACGATTTCACATGATTTCGGGGATGACTTCGAAAATGATTTTGGAGAGCTGAAATCACTTGATTTCAGTGATTTCGGAGTCATTTCAAAATGATTTCATGCCAGAGTGGCGCCGTGATTTCGGGAGTAGCCCCTCACATTTATGCATATTATTTTTTATCATTATGCATTCATTTATTCATTCAAAAGGAGTAAACGTCCGCTTTTATTATGTAGATTTGAGAAAAAAATTTGAAAAATGATTTCTCAAAGTTTTCACGATGAAAAATTCATGTTGTAAGGCTTATGCTAATTGATTCCCTTTTCCAAATGTGAAAATGGAATTTTCGTGTCAATCCTCTTTAAAAAAATTGCTGAAACATTTTCAGTCAGTCTATTTCGACAAGCCTATGCTGACCTTTCAAGGTCCATGTGGGCTTTTCAAGAGCAAATTTCGCGTTATAAAATTTGTGAAGTTAAATAAATAAATGAAAAAATATCCTTCAAATTTTGGATGTATACCTATATGTATAGAAAACTAAAAATTGAAAGAAGAAAATATATATTTGTCTGTCTATTTTATAATTTTCGTCAAACTCAACAATGATAATTATATCTATATTATATATATAATTACATTGTATTATATGTATTGATTTTTATTCGCAAGCTAAGATAAACTTGAAATATTCCTAAGTCTAGCATATGCTTGGCCAAATAGATTGCTGACCACCAAAAATGCTTCACCTACTTTTTAATATAGAGGTCTTTTAGATGATGGAAGGATTACTAATGGAAATATCAACTTATCTGGCAGAGAGGATCGAAGAGGGAGGGCAGAAATATAAGAAATGAGAAGTTTCATTTAAAAAAAACTGCCTTTATTCGTATTTCTTTTTGATTCGTATTGCTTTGGAAAATTCGTTCTAAAATGTTTTCTATCATTGCAAAATTAGTTTAAAAAACGTTGAAAAAAAGTCCATTCCTATTTCTTTTTGATTCGTATTCCCAGTATTGGCTAGTGAATTATAATTTTTTTTGCTGTAAAAACTTACAACCAGTGTTCCAAAGCAAGACGAATCGAAACGGCACACGGATGAAGCCATTTTTTTCATAGAATTCAGTAAATAATGGATTTTTCCGGTATTGTCGACTGAGAAGGACTATCGGGGCGCGATTTTGCTCGTTTTATGTCGACATAAAATCGTAAATTTCAACCAATGACAGTCCTGGAATCGGAATACTCAATTAGGATTGGTTGAAATTTATGATTTTATGTCGACATAAAACGAGCAAAATCGCTCCTCAGAATTGCCTCAGAAAACAATAGAACCCTTGATCGTAATAAAAACTCAAGAATTCATACCTCTGTTGGATCTCCGGCGAGTCGGACTCGTCCATGTCCATCCCTACGTATTATCAACAACAATTTACCATCAATTATTCACATGACGATGTAAACAACAGCCAAAAGTCACATGCGTCACATGTAACTCTTCCAAAACGCCATTTCAAAAATCTTCAGGTCAGGCTAGGCCCCTGCCCCCCCTCCAGCACCCACAATCGATTTTGGGTTGTCGCCAACTTCAGTTCGGTCGTCTCGAAAACAAAAACGTCAAACTTAACCTCGTAAAACCTCGTAAATCCCCTCATAAAACCTCGGAAATCCTTTTTTTCGACTGATTGAGTGAAAATGAGTGAATCTGCGGGAGGTGCAGAGGCTGCAGAGACGAATGGAGATGCAGGACAGTCCTCGTTCAATGGAGAGACTGATGAGCATCTCCAGAAGTCACCAGGAAGTGCAGAAGACAAGGCCCCCGAGTGAGTTTGAATTATTTATCCATTTTGAGTGATTACTTTTTAAGATTAACTCGAGTATTTTCAATCCTCAATAACTCGAGATCGGCTGAGTGAAATTTAAGTTTTGTCCTCTTGTTTTGAAGGAATTTTTCCAGGCTTTAAAATAAATTCTGATTTATTAAAGTCGCTTCATTTGGACAGTAGATATTGATGATTTAACAAGAAAATTTTTTGACCTTCCGCTACTGAAAGAAAGAATTGAAGAAAACTTGTCCTCAGTTTTTCGGAAATACCTCGAAATCCAGATGAGACATCTAAATACTTATAGGGACTTTTTTGTAGCTCTTGGAATTCTCTACAAAATACGTTTTGACAGAAATTCGCTATTTTCTTTAGTTTCAAAGATATTCCCCAAAAGCTCTCAACATCTGCACAAAATTATTTGAAAAATTCTCAAAATGGCCTTAAAAATATTTAAGGAACCCCTGAAATTTCCCTTGAAATCCTTCAACTGATCAATCTTCCAAGAATTTCCAAATTGCTCAATCCCCTAGAATTTTACAATTTGAAATTCTACCATTGGTCTTTTTTTTTTAGAAATTAACCATTTCCTTCAGTTGCGAAAATATTCCCTAGAAATTCGCAATGTCTTTTGAAAAATATGAAAGAAAAATCATTTATTCTGTCCATTAATTCCCCAAAAATCCTCCAGACGAATTGGACAAGACTTGGTGTTAGAAAACCCCTCGAAGAAGTCCATTTCCACCCCAGGGAGTTCAAATCGTTCAAAAAAAAGGAAGAAAGCCCCGAGGGATGCAACAGCCCCCAAGCAGCCCCTCACTGGCTACTTCCGATTCCTGAACGATCGGCGAGAGAAGGTGAGGGCCGAAAACCCCACCATGTCCTTTGCGGAGTTGACGAAACTCCTGGCTGCGGAGTGGAGTTCTCTCCCTGTTGAGCAGAAGCAGCAGTACCTTGATGCTGCTGAGCAGGACAAAGAGAGGTACAACAAGGAATTCAGTGATTACAAACAGACTGAGGCTTATAAATTATTCACGGAGAGACAGAGCAACGAGAAAGGCGCAGAGGGGAAGAAGGAGAGGAATGGAACTGCTGAGAATAATGAACCTGTGGTGAGTCTCCCAGGAGTTTTTTAATTGAAAGAAATTTTCAAGTTATTCTGATAAATTTTGGACGATGAAACGAAATTCCGCAGAATTCTGTGGAATTTCTTCTTTTCGTTTTATGGAAGAAAATCCATTCAGAAGTTTTTTGTCAAAAAATTAATTTCCAACAACAAATTTCCGTAGCTTATAATTCCCTGAATAATAAATCGTAATAGTCTCCTGGAATTCCTAACTAATGAGGAGTCATCTAGAATTCCATGCAACAGAAATTTTTCTGTCATTGATCCCTCCGGACTACCTTAGCTATATAACCCCCCTAGAATTCCTTGGCTATATAATTCCCCTAGAATTCTACTATAAAGCATTATTCAATTGATCAGTGCCCTAGAATTTGAGAACTTGATATTCATTGACTTATCAACCTCCCTGGATTTAACAGCTTGAAATTCTTCAAGTGTGCGACTCCCCTAGAATTTCAACAATTTGGAATTTTCCAATCGCTCAATCTCCTAGAATTTCGAAGCTTAGATTCCCCACTGGATGAATTTCCCTAGGATTTCACGAATCAAACATTCTTCACTCATTGATCCCTCCAGAATTTCTTAGTTATATAATTCTCCTAGTACTCCTTGGCTATATTATTCCCCTAGAATTCCACTACAAAGAATTATTCAATTGATCAATGCCCTGGAATTTCACAATTTGAAATTCATCAAGTGTGCAACTCCCCTAGAATTTCAAAACTTGGAATTCCCCAACCAATCAATCCCCTAGAAATTTATCACTTGAACTTCTCAATCGACTAATTTCCCTCGAATTTTACAGCATAAAATTCCCTAATTGTTCTCTAACTTGCAATTCTCCAACTCAAGCAGTCCCCTATAGTGTCAGAACTTAAAATTCGTCAACTGCTCCATTTCCCTAGAATTTCACAGCCTTGAAATTCCTAATTTTCCAGCTCTGCCAGCATTTCAACGCTTGCAATTTCCCAATCGATTAATCTCCCTAGAATTTCCTATTGGATGAATTTCTCTAGAATTTCACAGTCGAAAATTTCCAAATTTCCACTTTAACTTTTTTTCATTGAGGAAGAATGATTCAGGATTATGAGGATTATTTTTATTTAGGAGCCACCAACACCCGAGAAAGACACAGATTTCTCTGGCTTCGATATTCCCATCTTCACTGAAGAATTTCTCGATCACAATAAAGCCTGCGAATCTGAGCTGCGTCAGCTCAGAAAAGCCACTTCTGATCATGAAGCTCAGAATGCCGTGCTCCAGCGTCATGTGGACAGTCTCCATGCTGCTGTCAATAGACTAGAGTCTGAGACGAACCAGCAGAGAACAGCCAATCAATCGTTACAGCGACATTTGGATGCCCTCAGGGGACAGCTGGCTGGATGTTTTGCTAGTATTGCACTTCCAGGTATTAAAAAACAAATTCCGACGGTTTTTTCAATCAATTTTTTTTTTCTAAGAAAATTGTTCATCAAATTTTTAATTTAAGGCTCGGGTGTACTATCTTTCGAACGTTATCTCGATGTTTTTTTTTCATCTTTCGTCATCTTAAATTGTCAATTAAGTCCTGCATCATGCAGAAGTTTTGAAAAATTATGAATGAATAAGCAAAAAAAAGTAGAAAAAATTCTTAATTTTTTCAAAGACCTTATTTAATTTATATTCAGAATAAGTTGAATAACAAGAAATTGAAAAATGTATGTGATTTACTGTGACAAATGACGGCCTGTCACCCAATATCATGCAGGGGGAAGACTGATTTCGTAAATCTTTTCCCACACTGCACAGAGACATTTATTACGAAAAAGGCTCTTTGAAAAAAGTTGTTATTTTTTTTTGGAGAATTTTTTAATCACACTTTTATCACATAAAAATGGCAGATGACTACATACCACTGTTTTAAAAATTGAGATACCTAGCTGTCACTTTCCAGGACGAGTTAGTGTTTTGTTATCCACCATGGAAAATGACAGCTAATAGATAATTTGCCACAGCGAATCAGATATTTGTAATTTCCACTTTTTTCAACTCATTCTGAATGTCAATTAAAAACGCTCTTTGAAAAAGTTCAGAATTTTTTCTATTTTTTTTATCATTCTATCATAATTTTTGGGAATTTCTACATGATGTACCACTCAATTGACAATTTTGGATTACGAAAGAAAAAAAATCTAGATAACATTCGAAAGATAGTACACCCGGACGTTAATTTTCTTTTTCTAAGAAAATTGACTTTAATTTGCAATCAATTTCTCTGTCTTAAAAAAGTCTGGGGAAATTTCATGTTTATGAATTGATATTAAATCGTAATCTTTTCTGAATAAACGTATTCATCTGCAAGCGATGTAAATTAATTCAGGAATCAGGGATTTTGGAGAAATAAAACACTGATCTAATTGTCAAGGATGTGATGCTTCGCTGAATACATTTTAGCTTTCTCAGACTCTTGACTCACTCAATGTTTAATCACGCTATTAATTAGAATTCTCGTGTGGAAAATTGTTACTTGCATCGTAAAAACTCGCCCATCCCATCACTCACCAAAAACTTGCCCATCCCATATTTTCTAATCAATATTTTGTATTTTCAGGTACGAATGAAGGAGCAACACCTCAAAATATCGACAACTACGTTGAAAAACTTGAGACTTTACTGAGTGGAAATGCAGAGCCATCTCTTCGAAATGCCCTCCGATCAGCAGTCTCTCGTCTTGAACTATTGGGATGACGTTCACCCCCGGGTGCCACTCCAACATCACCGCCCAAGCATCGTTCTCGTCATTCCCATCGTAAATAATCTCTATCTTCGAATTAATTTTTTAAAAATCGAAACATTATCCACAATTATTTCATTTGTAAAATCCAGACTCAGAAAAGGTTTTATTTACATTATTACCACCAAGTACTTGTGATTTACAAGTTGTCATTCAGACATTCTCAGTCGACTCATATATTAATTAAATTACTTACATAAACAACTTAAATTAATTTAATACAAACGAATAAACAATTTACTAAAGACTAAGAGAAAGCACTCGCAGTTGAAAATTAATGTTATAATTGGTCATAATTGGCAAATTGTCCTTTAAAGAATCGATAAAGGCACATAAAAAATTTGGAATTCCCCGACTTATCCATTCCCCTAAAATATTACAACTTGAGATTCGCTAAGCCTCAAGGATTCTGTTTCTTAGAATTCCCGGAGCAATTCGCATAATCCCTTGCTGTTTACAAAATTATAAATCCTCGACGCTCCCCTAGAAATTGAAACCGTGTCTAATTCACCAATCTCCCTATAGTTTCCGAGCTGGAAATTCCTCAAATAATCTCTCAAAATCCCCCAATTTTTGTTGACTCCCCTAGAATTTTAGATAATTACCTTCCTTGAAATTCCATAGCTTGGAATTTGCCACTTTATTAGCCCCTACAGAATTATTCAGTTAGAAATCCTCTCAGAACTCGACCGCTTGGAGTTTCCTAATTATTCAACCCCCTAGAATTTCACATCTAAGAATTTCCAATTGATCAACTCCCCTAGAATTCCATCTCCCAATTGTCTGATCCCCCAGAATTCAACAGCTTAAAAATCTCCTATTAACCAATTCCCCCAGAATGCCTCATCTCAAAACTCCTCTAGAACTTCACAACTTAAAATTCTCCCCTTGTCCAACCCCCCTCCCCAAAAACTGCATAAACTGTTTCAACGCATACCTCAACGCCCCCACATAGACCATCCCCCCTCTCTCAGCGTCCCCTACCACTCCCTCCAGTGCATCAACCACCCCTTGCACGAGTCCCCTATCGACCCCCGCCAGTCCCCTCAGGAATTCAAAACACCCCTTCGTCATTTCCCTCACCCTCCCACAAACAACCGCACACAAACTCCCTTTAATCCCCTCCGGGCTGTAGAACGCATTCCCACACAATTCCTTGATCAACTCGAATGTCTGCCTCCTGTGAGGATGGAGGTCATGAACCCTCAAAAACCCCTCGATCACCAGCTTCAGCACCTTTCCCCCTATCACCTCCACCAGTGCCCTCCGCCCTCCCTCCCGCAGCAGCCCCTTCATGAGTTCCATGAACAAATAGGAATTCTTCCTCAACTCGTTGTTCTCGATGGTCAGATAATTGGATGACAATTTATCAAAAATCACCTCCACAAAGTCATCGCTGATCTCCTTGTTGAAGAGATTGATCAGCTGTTCGATCCTGAAGCTCCTGTCGTGTTCAGTTATCAGGAGTGGCAAGTAGACATTGAAGAGCTCGACGACGATCTTCTGGAGGATTTGATCCTGTTTTGGGGACAGGGTCTGCAGCCCCAGGACGATCATCGAGAAGATCTTCTTGCCGAGGAGTTTCAGGTGGGAATTGTCCTCTGCGGGTAGCATTATCTTGGTGATGAGCACCCGGAGGGGATTAGTGGGCGTGGGGGTGTAGAGGATCGGGGCGCAGGTGAGGATTATTGTCCCCAGGCAACGGTAGATGAAGAGGGAAGTCGGGGAGTCCTCTGTGGTGGGTTTTACGGGGCTGAGGACCCACTTGTCGAGGGTCAGGAAGATCGTTTTTATCTGTTTGTCTAGGGGCGGGAGCTCGGAGGGGGTCAACGAGGAGCGGTAGGTGCTTAGGGTGTTCAGGAAGAGGAGGAGGGAGGTGTTCGAGGTCTTGAAGTCTAAGGAGTCACGCCAGGAAGGGAAGAGCTTGCGGATTGGATCTACGTCCACTAGGTATGATTTTATGGTTTTTGTGGAGGGGTCCATATTGGAGATTGCACACTTCAGCCAGACCTGCAATTAATTTTTTTTCCTAAAGTTTTGGGCAATTGTCCTAGTTGAAGCATTCCACGCTGTTGTACCTAGCGTGGGGAGTACTTATAATTCAGTAGCGAAGTGGTAAAACGGTTCAAGTCCACTTATCTCCCACTTGGGTTTTTGAGGAATATTTCCGAATCTAAGGGAGATAGCGAAATTTTCGTAATTACATTTGTTGTAACACTCAATCCGTTCTACAAAAAAGGTTATAACAAAAATTTTGCTATCTCCCTTGGATTCCGAGATATTCATTGCAAACTGGGCAATTGTCGAAATTGACTTGTACCGTTTTACCACTTCGCTACTGAATTATAGTGGGTTCTAGGCTTAAAGGGATACATCCCAACAACAGTTTATCGGAATTTAAATATACGAGTTTATTACTCGATCGTAATAACTGTATCATCTTGTCTTACGAGATTGTTAATGAAAATGATAATTACGATGAAGATCTGTGATGATAGCTAGGCGACTGTTATATATATGAAAAAAAAAATGAATGGAACGAATATTGCCAATGACAAATATAAATAATGTACTTGAAAAAACAATGATAATTTTAATCAAAATAATAAAAAATTAAATTATAAACAAACAAATACGTGAACTTAACAACGAATAAAAACTTTTTTCCGATGGAAAATTAAACGAAAACAAAGCTATAATAATGTAAAAAATTCATAACATTCATTTGTACTAATTACGTTATGTTTTGGTTTTCTCTTAGGGGATTTTTGTATCTCAAGGAAATAACAAATTGATTCTAATCTAATCTAATCTGAGTGATTGCAAAGAGTTTACGACTTTTATACACATCGGAGTCCAATTCAGGGATCGGCATCAATCTTTAGATTATTAATAATAAGAGAAGTTGCACCTTAAAATGATTAAAGTTTAGTTATCTTCATTAAAATGTAAAAATGATAAAATGATAATGTAAATATGCGATCGACTATTGAGTAAATAATTCTAAATTTCATAAAAAGGATTTTCGACTGCACTTCAAAATAATCGTCATCTTCCGAAATCAATTATTGATTGATAAAGCAATTCGGGATTTGAATATTTAATTGATGATTAATTTGAAATATTGATATATTGATACCAATTGACTAATTCAAAATTTAACTTTATTTAAAAATTATGATTGTGCCGATGTTTGCTCCAATTCCTGTCTGCTCTGTGTAGAATTAACCGCCTCTTGAATGATACATTGATTGATTATATTTAATCACTTGGTCAGCATAATTCAGTTACTGGATGTCCACATATTCAAAAATAACGTAATTGACCAAATCTGGGGCATAACAACGCTATTTCAATGAAAAATATTTTTTTAAGATTTCGATATCAATGGAGTATTTACATATCAAGAAAAAATAATGTTTGGCCTATTGACAAAAATTACCTGCATCACCAAATGATCAAAATTGTCCAGAATCTTCTTCATTTCACCAATGGCCGCTCGATTCTCAAGAATAATCGAGAGATAAATCCTGGATATATTGACGTCTTTAACATAGATCGTCGATGTGAAGTGCCTGAACAAGGATGGAGCCGAATGTTTCTGGCCCTCCGCCATTTTTGGACACCTGAGAGCCTCGAGGGTGAACGCAGCAGCTAGTTTTCCGATGTCCTCGCAGTTCTCCTCGGTCAAATCGTTATCGTACACGAGGGCCCGAATTCTGGCGGCTGCGGAGGCCCAGAGTGCCTCCAGCATCTCTTTCCCTCCCAGGTTCTGGAGATCTAGAGCTCTGGATTTGTTCAAGAGGTCGAACAACATTTTCAACATTGTTCCCGCTCGATTTTTCGGACACTCCAGGAGGTACCGATCTATCCAGCCGCCGATGAGATGATGCTCTCCGTTGTCCAGCAGATCCACCTGGAAATTATTTTTCAGAAAAGTATTGCCACAAGATGTATGAAATTTATGAATTCCCCTAACAAATTCGATGAAGCCCATCGAAAAGTTGAAACTTCTCGACTTATCCATTATTCCCCTATTTCCGTAAAATATCACAAAGTTAGAGTTGCCTCCAGTATTTCATTCCTTGGAATTCCCTAAGCAATCCTATTCCTAGAATTTTATGACTTGAAATTCTCTAACTCAGCAATCCCCCTATAATTTCAGAGCCTAGAGTTTCTCAACTGACCTACCTTCCTAGAATCCATAGTTCGGGATTTCCCCATTTTTCACATCCCCTAGAATATTACAACTTGGAATTTCTGGCCGATAAACTCGCCTAGAATTACACAGCTTAGAATTCCTCAACTGATCACGCCCACCCAAATTCCACGTAGTGCACTTCTCCATCTTTCAGCCCCCCCCCCTCGAATTTCATTGTAGGATATTAGAAATTAAGTTTCCTGGAATTCTGCAATTGGTTATTTTTCAATTATCTTATTCTCTGTAATTCAACCGCTTGGAAATCCTTCACTGGTCAATCCCCCTAGAATTCCGCAGCTGGAAAACCCTCAACTACTAATCAAGTACCCTAGAATTCTACAGATTGAAATTTACAGTTGATTAAGTCTCCTAGAATTACACCGTTTGAAATTCTTCAAGCTTCTTAAAATTTTATCTGTTTTAATTCTCTAATTTTTTAGCCCCCTGGAATTTCAAACCCGGAAATTATCAGTTGATCAAATCCCCTAGAATTCCGCAATTGGTTATTCTTCAACTGTTCTATCCTCCGGAATTCGACGTTTGGAAATCTTTCATTGACAAAACCCCCTAGAATTACACAGTTTGAAATTCTTTAAGCTTCCTGGAATTTCACTTTTTTCAAATTCCCTAACTTTTCAGCTCCCTGGAATTTCAGAGCCAGAAATTATCATTTGATCAACTCCCCTAGAATTCGGCTCTTGGTTATTTCTCAACATTTTATCCTCTGGACTTCCACGTTTGGAACTCTTTCATTGACAAATTTCTAGAATTTCACACTTTGGAATTCCTCAACTGACCAATCTCCCTAGAACTTCCCATCTTCGAACTTGGCATTTAATTTCTACAAAACATACCTTGTCGAAGCTCTCCCTCAGTGTCTCCACGAAGACACTCATCATGCCCCTCCCGAGGTCGTCCCTCCTGGTGCTGAGGACCCCGACGACGCTCATCATCTCCTCCCCAATTCCCCTCAGATCAAGCCGGTTCTCCAACAGAAGAGCAACCCCACACAGTTGTCCCTTGAAACTCAGTGATACCCTCCGTCCGTTCTCCTCATCTCCCTCCAGAGGGCTCGGCAGCAGTCCCATCATCACCTTGACCACATTATCAGCATCCGCAGTAACGCCCAGGGTCAACAGCAGTGAAATCAGGTTGAAGAGCCTGACCTCCGAGAACTCTTTCACCTTGCTCTTCGAGAACTTGGAGTAAACCCTTCCCCGGATCTGATTCCACACCTTCACCTCGCGTTTTTCATAGTTCTCCTTGAGAATGATCCCCAGTAGCTTCAGAAACATCCCGAAGCTGGACTCCTTGGGGTTCTCCCCGTTGATCCTCTCCCTGACCTGCTTCAAGATGTCTCTGGGGCTCTTCTTCTCCAAGGAGACACTCCAGGGCCCGGCCGTCTGGACCAGAAACGGCTGATCCAATCTTCTGTGAAAGCAGTCCCAGAGATAGCTGATAATCCTGACGGAGGAGTCCTTGTCCTTCCAGAACTCCAGGATCATCATCTTCAAGAGTGGAATCATGATCCTCAACTCTTCGTCAATCTCGTCGCGCTCTCCTTCCTTCCCGCCTTTATCCAAGAAGGACTTGAGGATCTTCTCTAGCTGATGACAATTAGACTCGTGGAGGATTGGGGAACCGGGGTAGCTTCCCTCCGGGGGGTAGGTGTGGAGGAGGGTCAGGTGGTAGATCATCCAGATGCAAAAGATCTCTGGGCTTTTTGTGTCGAGCTTGTAGGGACACTTGTCAGCCTTATTCCAGGACAAGCCTTCCTCGTTGGACTGGATGATCCTGTCGAGGGTGGAGTTTACGTAGCTCCAGAAGGTGCGATTACCGAGATTTTGGGGTATCTTGGGGATTGTGATTTGGAGGGTCAGCCAGAGGTCGCGGACGCATGAACAGCTGAACGGGGTCTTCAGGAGGAGGTCTGACGAGTCGATTCTTTGAAAGGTCTTCGGGGGTGGTTTCCGGGTTGGAATAAAAGGGCAATATTACCAGAGAATATTTTTCTGAAATGCGGAAAAAACTTTGCGCTGTGAATTCTCAGCCAAAGGAAATGCCAAAATGTGAAGAATGACTTGGAAAATTTGTACCGACTACGGTGGCCGAAGTGGTTAAATCGCTCGGCCGGATGGCGGGATCCGTGAGGCGCGGGTTCGAGTCCGGCTTGGGGCAGGGATTTTTTAATCCTTCGGAAACTGTCGAACGGTAGTCTAGACACCGAGAATCATCGGAGAAATGGTAGAACAACATTCCTCGATGATGCTCGGTCGATGGACGTTCGTGTTGACCAAGGTTTTCCATGGTTTCCCTTGGTCACCAGGAGAAGTTTGTGCACGGCGTACAGCTCCTGGGGTACTATGCGACACGGTTGGAGAGGAAGTCAGTCGGCCCATGATAACCGCAAATTAGGGAACTTGTAAAAACCCGAGTAGGGTATACATGGCAAATAATAAATAAATAAATTTGGGAGATAAATAAATAAATTAGGGAGTTGATGGGACGAGTTGGGGGTGATCTGAAGAGGATAAATAGCTTTAAGAAATGTTCGAAAGTACGAGGTGGCTGGCAGGCTTCTCATTATAAGTCTCGCGACCCTTATTTTGACCCTTGTGACCCTTAGTTTCTGACCCTTAATGTTGGAGTCTTAATTTCGAGTACCAAATTTTCATCACCAGAAGTCGATTTGGATTTTTATAACACGGAGAGATATTGAGAATCCAGTAATCCCTATTCTAACCCTTGTGACCCTTAATCTGACCCTCATTATACCCCTCGTGACCCTTCATTTTGGAGTCTTGATTTCGAGCATCAAGATTTCATCATCAAAAGTCGATTTGGATTTTTACAATATAGAGAGACATTGAAAACCTTAGTTTCATCCTTATGATCCTTAATCTGACCCTTGTGGCCCTCATCTGGATCATCAATCCTACCTTCATTATAACCGTCGTGAACCTTATTTTGACTTTGGTGACTCTTAGTTTCTGACCTTTGGTTTTTGACCCCATGTCCTTTATTTGGACCCTTACTCTGACCCTTGTGACCCTTAATCTGACCCTTATTACCCTTATTCTGACCCTCGTGACCTTCATTCTGACTTTTCTGACCTTTGTTTTGACCCTTATGACCCTTAATTTTGAGTACCAAATTTTCATCACCAGAAGTTGATTTGGATTTTTATAATATAGAGAGATATTCTAATAATAAATTAAAAAAAAGAGATATTCAGTTCGCTAGGACATTATCATTTTGCAGCCAAAATGGCTGAGGAGACCCCTTAAGCCATCTTTCAGACTTTTCCATTACCACTTGACTGAGAATTCATCACGCAGAGTTTTCCCCGCATTTCATTTGAGCTGTTTTGATCGCCTACCTTCATCGATACGAAGATAAGGTCCTGCACGAACAGTTCCAGGGCCCGATCCAGTCGATCATTCTGATCCTGGCTCTGATCCTGAAGCGTCTGCTGATGAACAAGGGTGATCATCATCCAGCGCAGCTCCAGGTGAAGATGAAACAGGTGGAACCCCGGCTGGGGGCATCTGTTCCCACTACCCGAGGACGAGTAGTGTAGCGAGATGTTTTTCAAACGAGAGAGGAACTTCCCCAGGGAGAAGAGGACCTCGTCGAATCCAGTCTTCAACTCGGTCACCAGTGGGTGCTGGAGGTAGGGGAGCTGGGACTGGATTGAGTGGAAGTAGCTGCGGATGTAGACGACGAAGTCGAGGATCTCCTTGCGGAGGTGGTAGTAATTCATCTGGGATTGGGTGTGAGGTTCGTGGGGTTGGGGGAGCTCCTGGGGATTCTCATGACGGTTTAGGATCCTCATGTTCATCTCCATGAGCTTTATCAGGTGCTTCAGCTGGATGATCGCGGTGGCCGCGGGGTGCGGGGAACCGAAGAGGATTGGGGTTGAGGAGGGGAAGGTGGGGAGGGAGGGCGGGTGGAGGATGGGGTTCAGGTGGGGGCGGTGCACGAGGCTGGAGGGGGGGAGGTGGGGGTCGGTGGGGGTGACCTTCCCCGAGCAGGAGAATGTGGTCTCCTCCATGGGTGCTGGAAAAAGGGGGGTTTAAGTATTCGTAATTGTTAATCAATTAATTATTCAATTCATTGATTAATAATTGACCATTGATTTTTGAAGAATTGGTGATTATTAGGGAGTGGTAGAGTGCAATTCGACAAGTGACATCTCATTTTCAAGGTTTTTTTGGAAGCTTGAAAATGAGAGCAAATTCTTCCTGATCGCGTCGTTTGTTCGGGAGATATGAGGATTAAAAAAATTGAGAATCAATTTTACAACTTTGATCCCATCATCAATAGCTTGAGATTGGCCGAGTAAAATTTAATAACTGACGTCGCATTTTTAGGTTTTTAAAAAGATCTTGAAAATGAGAGCAAATTCGTCTTAATCAGGTCATTTGTTCAGGAGATATGAAGATTTGAAAAATTGAGTCAATTTTATCACTTTGATCCATCATCAATAACTTGAGATTGGCAGAGTGAAATTTAATAAATGACTTCTCATGTTCAAGATCTTTTTGGAAGCTTTCATTCAGCATATGAAGATTAAAAAAATTGAAAATCAATTTTATCTCTTTGATCCAGCATCAATCACGTGAGATTAACAGAGTGAAATTCAATAAATGACGTCTTATTTTCAAGTTTCCAAAAAAATCTTAAAAATGAGAGCCAATTCTTCCTGATCGCGTCGTTTGTTCAGGAGATATGAGGATTTAAAAAATTGAAAGTCAATTTTATCACTTTGATCCATAATCAATAACTTGAGATTGACAGAGTGAGATTTAATAAATGACGTCTTATTTTAAAGTTTTCAAAAACATCTTAAAAATGAGAAATTCGTCCTAATCGTGTCGTTTGTTCTGCATATGAAGATTTGAAAAATTGAAAATCAACTTTGATCCATCATCAATAACTTGAGATTGGCAGAGTGAAATTAAATGACCACTCATTTCCAAGGTTTTTTCAAGATCCTCAAACCCTTCCACCCTTAACTCACCATATACTGACATTATAAGAATTCATTAGAAAAAAAATTCAGTAATTAAAAAAAAAGGAACTTTACGAATCTGATGGATATCATCTTTAAACTCTCAGCAAGATCATCTCAATCATTTCGTGCCCCCAAAACTCACAAAAAATGAAAACATGAAAAGTCTCTAAAGATGACAAATGTCTCTAAAAATGATGTGTTTTCAATTGAAAAGCAGAATTTGTAGCAGAGATGTCAGACTACATGTGAATGTTTTTTTGGGCTCAAATGAAAAAGCGAGTCTCAAAATGGCGTGCAAATCCATTTTGCCCCAACTCCAAATTTTTTAACTTTCCGACTCGAAGGAAGCTATTGTAACGACCCCAAAAATCAAAAGTGGAAATTTAATGACATCTTCACGCTGCATGACTCCTCGAATCTTTCTATGATGTTTTTGCACACATGTCTGTCATCTGCATGTGTGTCTCTGTGCATGAGAGTGAACGCCAATGTATATATGTGACGCAAAAATTTTTGGGACAAAATTTCCCAGCAAACAGTATGTCGACAATTTGTCGACAAATTGCCGATGTCCTGTTAAATTTTATATGGCACTGGAAAAAATTGTTTTCTGTGTTCCCTTGAACGAACGGTGCAATTTGTTTTCGCCTGAAGACATCTGTTCCCCGGGCCCCCCAAAAAAATTAAAAATCCCTTCATTTCCACTCACCCGAGCACTTGGCTCTCCAAAAGTTCCAGTAAAATCCCTCACAATGACTCTCAACGATTATTAAAAAAACATCAAAATCACGTGAAGACTCCGTCCAATAATTTTGGCGGGACGTTTACCCCTGAAGTTGCCTGCAGGTCTGTCCCCCCACCCCAAAAATCGCGTGTGTGCAAGGGAAATTGCGAATGTTGTCCCTGGATTTACCTCTTCCACTCGTCGTAACAATTAGCAATAAATAGCTGCACGTGTTTCAGTCCAATAATTACAACCCCTAGCCCCCGAGGGGATGAACTGGACCCTAAACCCTCACGTGTTCAGATGTTGAAATTGCATTTTGGGAGTTGAGACGTCGAGGGGGTGCACGGGAATGACAGATTGAGTGCCATCCTAGGATTTTGAGTATCATCATCGCTTCGATGCAGGGGAAATACGGGGGTGAGAGCCAGGAAGTCGATGATCTCGGCATGATGAATCTCCGGGAGCTGCTCACCGAGGTACCGCTTGACTCTTTATTTTATTTAGATTTTTTTTTCGGGGCTTTGTGAGGAGATGCAGAGGAGTGAGGTTAGGTTGATTGAATAGGGTCATTCCTGATGATGAGGAGAGGGTCAATGATATTTCAAGATTTTTTTTCAGAGGACAACGAAATGATGCAAATAATCAACGATTTTTCCAATTTTTTTACGAGAAAAAAAGTTTTTCAAAATTTTGGGATTTTCATCATTTTGGGATTACTGGGGGATTCTGTCATGATATTCAAGCTCTAGATGCAGTGAATTATTGATTTTTCAAAGGATTTTTGATGGAAAATGACGTAAAAAAAAAGAAAGAGATTGGGGAATTGTGAAGTTTTTTTTTATCAAGCAATTAGAAACCTACATACAAGGTTTATTAGCTACATAATATGTTAGTAATTCCACTAGATAAAGAGAAACAAACAAAAAAAGAGAAAGGAAAAAAAATTACACTTTGTCTGTTGATTAAATTTTTTCGCAAATTATTATATTTATTCAATTCACATTCTTTAAAGAATCTATCAATCGAATTGTGAAGTGAAAGAAACTTTCTGAAATCATCAATATTTCTTGAAGAAATGGTGGATTGTGATGAATCAGGTTTCATTTTGAAGCTTGAAAAACTATCTTCATAATGAAAAGAAATTGGTGAATTTCACTCTGCGGATCTTGAGTTATTGATGATGATGAACGGCTCATTTTACTTTTCTTGTCCCTAATTATTCTTGAGACGTAAGATAATTGCACAATTGAATTAAAAATACATTCATCAATCACTTGGATGACTCCCAATAATTCTGATAATTCAATCAGATGATCTAGGAGTGATTGCAGTGCTACGAGCGATTTTTTTCAGTGTGAACGAGTTTGCACATGCCTCAAGGAATATCCTAAGACACTGTTAAAAATTTGTGTCTAAAATTTCCGGTACACTTTTTGGAAATTTATATCGAATTTAATTACTACTAAAATTTCGAGGAATTTCATCGTTGAAAATTCAGAATTTTGTGGAAAAATGAAAGAAAACCGTACATTTGAATTCCTTTTTTCTCTGAAAATGAATGGAGAACCAGAAAATTCCGGTAAATATATTCTGAAATTTTCAGGACAATGACACTGAGTACGATTTAGGGGGAAAAAATCATGAAATTTCAGATTTCACTGAAAATTCAACGCAATTGGGCACTAAATATTTATATTAGATTGGAAATTCAAATAAATTGAGGAATTTTGGAATTTCACTGAGATAGGGAACTTGTATGATTTTTTTTCAATTTTCTAATCTCAAGTTTGGGACCTGAATAATTCATTTTTCATTCACAAATGTTTGAAATATCACTCATTAATTAATAATAAATTATTAAAAGTTGAAGATTTCAAACGTGTCGAAATCGCTAATGACGTCACACAGACGGTCGAGCACTGGACCAATCACAGAATGGCTCGAGCCGACCTAACCCAATCTTGAAGAGCGCCTCGGCCAATGGAGAACGGCAACTCCCCACTCTCTTCTTCTTCGGCCAATGAAACGTTGACTGACCGTCTTCGTGACCTCATGACTGAAAAATTGGCCTCGAAAACGACTCATTTTCAAATAATTATCATAAGACATCTAGGCAATATTCTGCGATAATTTTCGCCATTTAGCTATCCATATGTTATGCGGAATGTGTGAATAGGGGAATTGGAAAGAATTGAGCTTCATGCAAGTTCCCTATTGAAATTTTGAAATTTTACTGAATTTCTAGTGAAATCCAACATTTTATAATTTTTTTCCCCTAAATCGCCTTCAGTGTCACTGTTCTGAAAATTAGTAGTCAACTGTCCATGAAATTTCATTTTTTTTCTAACAGTGCAACTCGACTCAAAAGTTAGTCCCTATGGATTTCCGGCAAAAAATCTAAATGACTTGATTTATGACATTCTCATAAAGTATTGAGTTTTTCTATTCTCATAAGTTCTTGATGGAGGCAGAAATAACTGTTTGAATCAAATAAGAAATTATTTGTTAATCAATTGTTTGAATCAGATAAGAAATGATTTTACGAAATTGCCTTATTTTTTAGAGTTGAATATTTCACAAAAAATTCACCTGGAAGATTGCGATTCCTTTGGCGTTGCTATTTGACATATATTTTCCATATCACTTTGCCTCAGGAATACGGGAAAGATAAACTGAAAATTCCCTCTTCATTAGTTTTTGAGACACGAACATTTCAATCCTTATTTTTCAAGATACAAACATTCCATGAAGCTTCTTATACTTGAGACTCCAATTCATGCACTCACATTCCCACATTGGAATTCAGTGATTACATTTACAACCTCAAAACAATTTTTTTGACTGGATTTTTTTTCTGAAAAAATTGCAGCAACAGTTACAAAAATTCAGTCAACAACATCTCCAACAACAAATATTTCAGTCAAAAATGCATTCAACCAAGGCAAGGATAACCCTTGTGACCCTTGTGACCTTACCTTAAGACGGGAGAGCACCCGATGCATATTCCGAAGGCCTCGGGTTCAAATCCCGCTCTGGACTATCCAACTTTGTAAACTAATATCGGAAATTATCCTGGATCCCGTCTACCTACCCCAAAATCCTATCCAACAATATCCTGTGCCGTCACAAGTTCTCAGAAAAAAAAATTATTTTTGCCAAATATCCATTCACTTCAAAGAAGTATTTATTTTTTCAATACCATATTTCTCCATTCGACTCATTCTCAGGCAAACCTCATCAGGTTTCAATTATGTCAATTATATTGCTCTAAAAGATGATCATGACCTTGAGTGAACTCCAATAATTATCAACATCGAGAAATTGATCGCAATTCTTCCCTCTAGAAAATAAGAAATTTAGAAAAAATGGATAATCATTGAAGGAGTTCATCCAAGGTCACGTGCAACATGGTCATCCTCTAGAGGAACATGATTGTTACAATTGAAACCTAATCAGGCTCGCCTGGGAATGACTCGATTGAAGAAATACGATTTTGAAAAAATAAATGCTTCTCTCAGGCAAATGAATATTTGGTAAAATTTTGTTTTCTCAGTGTCTAAACTCCCGTCTTATGTGAAAAATCGCCATCATTCTTCAGGAAAAATAATGGAGATGAAATTTTTGCATCACCATTACGAAAAACATGTTGAATCGTGGCGTCAAAGGAATCCCAATCATGCCTGCGCCCCCTACTCTTCTCACCCCGATACATTTCGTGACTTCCGCAGTTCAATGGGTTAAAAACATTTGCACACCCCAATATTCCCCTGAATCGGATCTTGCTCTGGCGAAGCTTTCGCTGATTTGACCCCTCCCCTCCCCGCGTCATAAATTCCGCTAGTGCACCGGAATATTTTTCTCGCCAGCCGCCGCTCCTCCAGGCGATTTTCCTCGGCAACGTCCAGGAGATCCGTACCCTCCTCTCCAACCAAGAAGACATTCACTGGCAGGACGACAAACACCGGACACTGCTGCACGCAGCGGCCTTCATCGGCGACCCCGACATAGTAGAAACCCTAATCCTGAACGGTGCAGGAGTCAACAAGAAAGACAAACGTTGGTTGACACCCCTGCACCGTGCCTGCTGCTCGGGCAACGAGTCAACAGTTGAAGTCCTCCTGAAGCACGAGGCTGCTGTCAACGTGAGAGACAGAAGATGGCAGACTCCCTTGCACGTGGCAGCAGCCAACAATGCAGTCCAATGCGCGAAACTGATAATCCCTCGATTAGTCAACATAAACCTGACAGATCGAGGGGGAAGGACGTGCTGGCACCATGCGGCCTTCAACGGTCACGTAGAGATGATGGAACTGTTTCTCTCCCATCAAGACTGCGTCGTGAACGCCAGAGACAAAAAAGACCGCCGAGCCCTGCATTACGCGAGTCACATGGGCCACGAGACAATCGTTAAACTTCTCCTGGACAATGGGGCTGAGGTAGACGTGCGGGATCGTGATCTTTACACGCCCCTTCACGCCGCCGTGGCAGCAGGCAAAGTCGAGAGCATAAGGATTCTGATCGAAGCTGGATCTGACATCGAGGCGAAGAATGTTTACGGTAACACGCCTCTGCACGTCGCCTGTCTCAACGGGCACGTGGACGCGGTTGCCGAGCTGGTGAGATGCGGCTCGAACATCGAGGCTGCCAACTACAGGGGCCAGACACCTCTGCACGTGGCAGCAGCCAGCACCCAGGGGGTGGACTGTTTAGAGAGCTTGCTGAGGGCTGGAGCGAGGATCAACGTGCAGTCCCAGGTGAGTGGCATGTCTTTGAAGGCCCTTCAAATGTTCGATACAGTAGTCTACTCCCGTTAGAGTCACACTCGTTATAGTCGCATTTGCCCTCATATCCATTTTTCGGCCCGCGAGGGCTCCCCCCACTCCATTACCTACGAAAGCCTTTAAATGAGTGCTCCTGTTTTTCCTGGAGGAGTCATTGTTTTTGAATTCTCGGAAATTCGCAAAATAAAATACTGAAAATATGAATTTACGTCAATTTACGATGGGTAGACATTTAGTCTTCTCCTGATGGTCACGGAGAGAGGTTACACTTTTATTGTGGTAAAATTAATTAATAAAGTTAAAATTTGATTAGTTGGTCGAGTGAAAATTGAAATGAATTGAAAAATGGATCCACATGAGAATGCTCCTTTAATTAGCAATAATTACTAATTAATTTTTATTTTTATTGGTCATTATAATATCATAATTGTTATGATAATTATTATTATATTTTCATTTTTTCATTAATAAAATGAAAAAAAAATTCAGTATTTTTATTTTATCAATGTCGATTCTGAGAAATTACACCCGGAGTAAGCGCGTGGTGGTGGAAGGTGAATACAGTCGCATTCCCCGAATTCACTTCCCCAACAGCCCCTTGAGTGTGACTAATGGGTGTCTACTGTACTCAATCGATACCTCAGGGTCTTCTATTTCCCTCGAGACCACGTAAAATCGAGACGAGACCGAAAAATCAAATATCTTCCGAGACCGAGACGAGATGAGACTTTAACATACGAAACCGAGACGATATTGCTGATTTCAATTTTAGTTTGAGACCGAGACGAGACTTTCGGGAATCTCACCTCGTCTGGTCGGGTGCCCAGCCCGAAAAATAACGATGGGACCTGAATAATTTTGAAGACACTTGATGCCTATGACAAGCCCTTCCAATTGACTCTAGATTTTTCGAATTCCACTCAGCGGTTTTCGAGTTATCGATGATTGATGTTGAATTGATTGAAAGGGACAAATGAATTCTGTTATCCTTCAGGACGGAAGGACTCCCCTCCACATGACGGCCATTCACGGTCGTTTTACCCGTTCAAAAAGCCTCCTAGATGCCGGAGCATCACCAGACACTCGCGATAAAAACGGTAACACTGCCCTGCACATTGCAGCATGGTTTGGCCACGAGTGTCTGACCACAACATTGTTAGAGTGTGGTGCCTCCCCAGGGGCGAGAAATGCCGAGCAAAGGACCCCATTACACCTTAGTTGTCTTGCTGGCCACATTGAGGTGTGTCGAAAGCTCCTTCAGGTAGACAGTAGAAAGATTGACTCGAGAGACATTGGTGGAAGGACCCCTCTGCACTCGGCAGCCTTCGAGGGCTCCGTAGACTGCCTAGACCTTCTGTTATCAAGTGGCGCCAATTTCAGGCTATCGGACAATGATAACAGGCTTGCCCTGCATTATGCAGCGAGTCAGGGACATTATTTGTGTGTTTTTACTCTGGTGGGTTACGGAAGCGACCCGAATGCTCAGGATGTCAATGGCGCCACTTGTCTTCATCTTGCCGCAGCTGCGCCCAATCCGGCTGACAGCTCGGATCAGTGTGTCAGGTACCTCCTGGATCATCGAGCTGATCCCCAGATCAGGGACAAGAGGGGATTCACTTCGATACACTACGCGGTTGCTGGGGGCAATCAACCCGCGCTGGAGGCACTTCTCCATGACTCGAGTTTAGGCGCAACGGTAAGTCCTATATTGCAAAGTTATGAGTTTTTATCGAAGGACACGAGTTTATTGAATAATTTCGGGTGAAAATAATTGAAGAAAAGAGATGAAAATAAATTACACATTCGCGGACTAAAAACAAAGATAAAAGACGGAGAGGGAGCAAAAGAACAAGTACGCGACAACATTATTCTCATTTACCGCGGGATAATAGTTTACAGAACGTCCACCAGGTGGATGTAACCGAGTTTATTAAATAAATTGGGGCGAAGAGAATTGAAAAAAGATACAAAATAAAATTACATGTTCGCGGACTAAGAACCAAAATAAAAAATGGTTGAGAGGGGGGGAAAGAACAAGTACGCGACAACATTATTCTCATTTACCGCGGGATAATAGTTTACAGAACGTCCACCAGGTGGATGTAACCGAGTTTATTAAATAAATTTGCCGCGAAAAGAATTGAAAAAAAGATACAAAATAAAATTACATGTTCGCGGACTAAGAGCCAAAATAAAAATGGTTGAGAGGGAGGGAAAGAACAAGTACGCGACAACATTATTCTCATTTACCGCGGGATAATACCTACCAGAACGTCCACCAGGTGGATGTAACCGAGTTTATTAAATAAATTTGCCGCGAAAAGAATTGAAAAAAAGATACAAAATAAAATTACATGTTCGCGGACTAAGAGCCAAAATAAAAATGGTTGAGAGGGAGGGAAAGAACAAGTACGCGACAACATTATTCTCATTTACCGCGGGATAATAGCTACCAGAACGTCCACCAGGTGGATGTAGTCGAGTTTATTAAATAAATTGGGGCGAAAAGAATTGAAAAAAAGATACAAAATAAAATTACATGTTCGCGGACTAAGAACCAAAATAAAAATGGATGAGAGGGAGGGAAAGAACAAGTACGCGACAACATTATTCTCATTTACCGCGAGATAATAGTTTACAGAACGTCCACCAGGCGGATGTAGTCGAGTTTATTAAATAAATTTGCCGCGAAAAGAATTGAAAAAAAGATACAAAATAAAATTACATGTTCGCGGACTAAGAGCCAAAATAAAAATGGTTGAGAGGGAGGAAAAGAACAAGTACGCGACAACATTATTCTCATTTACCGCAAGACAATACTTCACAGAGCGTCCACCACGTGGAAATAACTGACTTTTCCAATCGCGAATTTTCCGCAACTTCACACACGAATTGTCTCTGAAATACATAAAGCGCTGTTTTCCAGGTCGGAGGCAACTCCTCGAACCCCTCCCCGGTGCTCCCCTCGACCTCCCTCCCCCAGTTAGCGACCCTCCTCCCGCCGCAACCGGTCCTCCCCCCCCAGAACTCCCTGAACCCCTCGACATCGGCTCTAACCCCCCTCCACCTAGCGGCGTACCACGGTCACGCGGAAATCCTCCGTCAGCTCCTCCCCCTCTTTCCAAGCACAAACATCCGCGAGGACACGGGTAAGACCCCCCTCGACTTAGCCAGCTACCGCGGTCACGAGCAATGCGTCCGCCTTCTCCTGCGGTGTGCGGCCCTCGTCTCAGTCCAAGATAATATCACCCGCCGTACGCCCGTCCACTGTGCCGCAGCCATGGGCCACACCGAATGCCTGAAACTCCTCCTCAAGTCCACTGAAGACGCCTCAGTCGTGGACAGATGCGACGCGAAGCATCGAACTCCCCTGACCCTCGCGGTTGCCAATCACTTCCCCGATTGCTCCTCCCTTCTCCTAAAATACAAGGCTGACTGCAATCTTCCGGACGTCAACAAGCACACGCCCCTCTTCCGGGCGGTCATCCACGAGGTGGACCTCCCGGTGGTGGAGATGCTGCTGCAGCACAATGCGCGGGTCTCCCCGCAGGACTCAAACGGAAAGACTCCGCTCCATCTGGCGGCCGCTTGTGGTAATGTGTCAGCTCTGGCGGCCCTCGTTAAAGCCGACTCATCCGCGGTGGGCCTTAAAGACGATCAGGGCTGCACGGTGCTGCATTGGGCCTGTTACAACGAGAACGCCAAGTGCGTTGAGTATCTGCTTGAGTCAGGGCTGATAGACACTCTGGAGGGAAATCCCTTCTCGCCGGTTCACTGCGCTGTTCACCAGGGCTCGGCGCACTGTCTGGAGCTTCTGATAAATAAATTCGGGGGACAGGCGGTGGCCGTCCCGAGGGATACACCTGGCGGACGGCTTCCGCTGCACATCGCGGCTTCCGCGGGCTCCGTCGAGTGCGCCAGATTGATTCTGGCGTCGGTGGGAACTGAGGCCGGGGGACTAGAGGCGCAGGATTACGCGGGACGCACGCCGTTGCTCAGCGCTGCTGTCACGGGGCAGACGAACACCATTGAACTGCTGTTGGAGTGGAAGGCTGATGTCAGGGCGGTCGACTCTGGCAGCAATACGGCTCTTCATCTGGCTTGCCAGAGGCGGCATTCCACCGCTGCTTCGCTCTTGCTGGATAGGATCGAGGCGATGGTGAAGGACGGGGAGGCCGGACAGAAGGGCCAGATGCACATGATGCAGATTGTTAATATGGTTAATAAACAGCAGAGGACGCCGTTGCATCTCGCTGCTAGGAATGGACTGGTCGGGGTGAGTATGATGCTCGGGGGGGATTGTGGGTCTTCGGGAGGTTCTCATCGGTTGTTCATAGGTCACCCGGAGACTTCTTCAGCTGGGGGCGAGTGTCTTCGCGGTGGACACTGACGGATTAACCCCGGCTCTGGCCTGTGCACCTAATCCAGCTGTTGCCAAGTGTTTAGCTACGATCTTAGCTGCTCATGGTAAGTTTGTAGCGGGTTGGGTGGAGCTTTGGAAATATTGACGCGATTTTTGAGAGATCGATTCGACTATTTTGCCAGATTCCAGAGATCGGGCCCAACGACATAAAATATCAACAAACATTGAATTACAGAAATTCACACTCTCAAGTGTGTTCTAGAAGGAATTGAATTTTAATTATGATTAAAATCTTATTCAGTGAAAATAGGAATTAAAACATGAGCAAATCATTTATTGTAATATGAACATTTAACAGCTGATAAATTGGGACATATGATTTTTATCGGTCGCGTTGCCTTTTGCCATGAGAATGATTATAAATTAATTCATAGTAATTCATAATTTTTTTTAATGGTTTTGTTTTTTTTCTGATTTTTAAGGCCAAAATTGGGAATCAACTCAACAGTCTCCATCCATCCAACAAACGTCCGAAGTTTATCTTAATGGAAGAGTCGGTGATTCACAGCACAGTTCAGATTCTGAATTCTACTGACGTCAACTAACGCGTTCACACGCTGATTTTTTATGAATGATTGAGATAATGGAGAAATTGGTGATTGACTCTTAGCTTTTTAATCGGTCTAAGTGCTTTCGACGCCTGCGATTTGTGCGGATGGAATTGGTATGTTTTTTATCCTCATAATGTAGAAGAATGGAGAAACAATATTTTCTATAAGGTAATGACGATAATTTTTGTTTTCTCGTTTTAATAATTCTTTTTTTTGTACTAGAATACAAAGATCTCTCGCTTTTGCGATGTGAATAATGTTAATGGAGTTTATAATAGCCGGTTGAATTTTTTATATGAATCAAAATAGTTATTGATACTTAATTGAGGACACCGGCATGCTCAATAATGCTCTTCGATTGTTTAGTTTTTATCGGGTGGGTAAATGCAATCAGTGGTATCGTTTCATGTCGTAACGATTGGCTTGAATAAAAAATTGTGAAATAATGTGAGTCCTTTGGGATGATAATTCCCCACCGTAGGGAACTTGCGTGATTTTTTGTATTGTTTTAGCCTTAAGGATATCCATGTACTTTGGCCATTTTTTTCCAGTGAAAAGCTTTTCTACTTTTGTCGTCAAACATCAGAGCTTTCATTTGACACCCATTTGACGCTAAGTTTCAGGACATTTTACAAAGATTTTATTATTTAAACTTTGCAGGTCTGAATTTGAATCTTGATATTGAACTGTTAGAAAATATTATAAAAATCTGAAGAAATTTTAGAAATTTTACTTTTGGGGGAAGATTGACGAAATAATTCAAAAGTTGCAATTTTTGAAAATTATGAGCCTTTTCTATAAATAATTTATAAACACTCAATTTTCTACCATAAAAATCATTCGTTCGGAATCGTAACAAATTTATTAATATTTTATTTATTTATTAATATTAATATTTTACCATAATTCGATTTCATGCCTAAAAAAAGAAGTTTTCCGAAAGTTTAAACAATTTTAATTATTTATTTATAAACAACGAATGTTTAAAAAATAATAATTCTGTGCAAACGGAAATTTGAATGACACTGAATATTCATGATTTTTTTCAAATTTTTCTCACGCAATTTGATTGACAAATTTGATGATTGAAAATAGTTTAATCTATAGTGTGGTCTGTACCAAACTGTAAAAGATACTTGGGATACTTTGACCATTTTTTTCCAGTGAAAAGCTTTTCTACTTTTGTCGTCAAACATCAGAGCTTTCATTTGACCCCATTTGACGCCAAGTTTCCGGACATTTTACAATGATTTTATCATTTAAACTTTGATGTCTTTGATATTTTATATATCTTTGATATTTCAAGTTGATATGTCGATCTTTGCACAAGCTAGAGTGATTACAAATTTTTTTTTATATCTCGAAAACTTTGTATGGACGGGTGTAAGATTGATGACCCTACGCTCGTCTAGCTGAGGTGAACACATCATTAGTCCAATATTTCTCTCAAAATGAGCGTGAAGATGCGATGATTTAAATTAGACAAGATCTATGCGCGCGCTGATCTATTCATTTGTTGAAATGAAGAAATGGAATTCATTGAATTTCATTTTCTCATGAATACCTTATAAAAATTGATAATGAATCAAAGAGAAATCGACTAATGATTGAAGTGAATAGCCAAGTAGAGTAAAAGAATATATAAAGAATTTTTCATTTTCAATTAATTATCTTCAATTTTTCAAAATAATCGATCTCCATAAAAGAACAGAATTTATTAATTTCACCGATGATATATATACATGTGAAATATATTTTATATATATATATATATATATATATATATATATATATATATATGACGTGAAAAAAAAAATTTACCATTGAAGAATTTTAAATTATGTCACTGAAGAATTTGAAAATGCCGCGTGTTTTTTTTTTTTGTGAATAACTTCGTGTCACATATTGACCAATCAGAATTAAGGATTAGCGGTCAGGCAGTTTCGAGATATTTCGATATAAAACAACTTCACGTTTCTTTCATCTTTAGTAAATAGGAATAGGATATCAGAGGGTAAAACCTTCGGAATTGGAATTTACTTATATTAATCATGATAAGTACTATTTTTTAATAAATAATCGTCCATAAATGGAGCATAGGATCAATGTCATTTTCATTGTACCTATTCTTTTAATTGGTGATATTTCAGTGAAATATTCGGATATTACTATAATTTATGCATTTTTATTAAATTTTTCACTATTTGAAATCTCGATCAAGGGATTTTTAATTCCATGTTGCTATTGTAACGGAGATATCAACGTTTTAAAATTGTGAGTTTCTTAACTTGTGGCTTTGACTCTGTCGTAACACGAGTTGATGTGAATGGGATTTTTCTCCCTTATTATTCAATAAATCACTCTTCATTGGTGTCTATGATTTTTCTTATTAACTAAAATAATAACGCCAATCGTTTCATTCTTAAAAGATTCTTGGGACTGTCAAGATTATTAAATTATTAATAAATAGATGTAGATGGAAGGCATCGGAACGCATATTTTGAAAACAAAACAATCGAAATCGGTTCATTAGTTTTGAAGATATTTGCGGAAAATGATTTAAAAACGAGTCGCTTTTTCTCAAAGACTATTAGATCGATCGGGCTAAAATTTTGCACAGAATTAGTCTTCATTCAGACCTATAATCTGACAAAATTTCAGATTTATTGGAATTACTTAAAACACCTAATTACTCAAGTAGGAGGCGGTGGACATGCTCACATACAGACATGGTCGCCATTCTACATAATTTACAATCACAATTTGAGAATGTAAAAATTGCACGATTATAGTGCCACGATCCGGAAGCAAAAATAAGAGATTCAAATTCAGACCTGCAAAGTTTAAATAATAAAATCATCGTAAAAAGACTTGAAACTTCGGGTCAAATGGGGCTCGACTGAAAGCTCTGATGTTCGGCTGAAAGAGTTGAAAAGCATTTCACTGGAGAAAAAATAGCCAAAGTACTTGGATATAAGTAATAGGAGAATTAGGAAAAACTGAGCTTCATGCAAGCTCCCTAATCATTGATTTTTCGTTCATTTATTTGTCACATTGTTTTTAAATATATCCGAGAGATGGCACTGACGAACCGGAATTGTGACGTCATTCATCGCCATCTGGACATTTTAAATGTCATTTTTCAGTCCTTTTTTAATAAAAATAAAGATTTGAAAAATTTCACCTTGAATTTAGCCACAATTTGACGTAAAAAAATAAAAAAATTCACCAAAATATCGCTATTCGGTCACAGTAACAGTCATTCACCCATTTGAATATTTCCCGCCAATTTCATGAGTTCCCATTCGTGCCCTCTTCAGTCCAATCCCAGAAGTTCCGAAGGCGATATACAAAAATCGAAGGCTAAAACGTTTAGCCGTGTGTGAGTGAAAAAACAGTAAAAAATTGGTTAAAACCGATAGATAAGCAATTAAAACCCTTAACAAATTCATATTTGCGACCTGAGTAGTCTCCACCTTCAAAATATCTCCAGAAATGTGAATATAACATAAAATCGCAGAACTTTCAGAATTAACCTCAAAAGATAAACTTCATGATTTTAAAAAATCCAAAAAATTGATGAAATTATTGATGATCCATTGATTATCGAGTAATTCGGTGATAATGGCACACGATAAGAAGGCGCCTCGTCGCAGTAGATCCCGCGAGCGTGATCGGGATGTCCACAGAGACCGGCGGGAGCGTCGCAGGTCCCGAAGTCGTTCCAAGGACAGAAAGACCTCGAGGAAAAGATCTAGATCGCGAGAGCGATCCCCTCGGGAGCGTCCACACGAGTCGAGGGGCTCCAATAGCGCCTCGAAGTCGTCCTCGACGCCTCACGACTCCAAGAAACGAAAGCAGAGCCCTATCTTCAGTCTTGATGACAGGGAGAAGGAGAAACGAGAGGATAAAGCGAAGAATTCCCATCAGACTCCTGAGGATAGCGAGGCAGAGGGTGATAAAAAGATTCCGAAGAAGGAACCACTGAGTCTCGAGGAGATTCTGGCGAAGAAGAAGGCTGAGGAGGAGGCGAGGGCCAAGCCGAAGTTCCTGACGAAGGAGGAGAGAGCAGCGCAGGCACTCGAGAAACGACAGCAGGAGGTGAGATGCACTAGGTGGATTTACGGGGATACTATGGGTTTTACGGGAAAATGTCGGAGAACATTTTTTGTGGAGAATTGAATTCTCTACAAAAAAGGCCTTGTGACTTTTTCCCCTAAATCCACTCCCTCTCCCGTAATTCCCAAAAAATCCAGAATGAAATTTTAAAAAACCCAACTTTTGGTCAATTGACACAGCACCCCATTTATTTAGCCTAAAAATAAAAGTTTTTTCGTTGGATTTTCTTCATGAGAAGAAAAGAAAAATGGAATGCAAAAAACTTGGAAAATTCGAGTTGAGCAAATTCTCTAGAAAATATATGAAAAGAATAAGTTATATAGAAAAATCGAATTCTGTTGACTTTTTCTATTGAATGTTTTCTATTGAACATGTCAATAGAATCAGCCAAAAACTAATAGAAAGTTTAATAGAACTTCAATAGAATTTCCTAACGAATTCGATGGGTTTTCCTATTAAATTTTTTCGTGCGTGTACGCGCGCGCATAGAGAAGAAAAATAGGGATCAGCGGGTTTCAAACAAGATACCTCGCTCATTGCGCCTGAATTAAATGAATATCGATAACTAATCAATTTATATCTGTAGTGAAATGGTAAAACGAGGTAAGTTAACTTAGCTTTTCGTGGAGTTTTTCGAAAATATCTCCGAAATTAAGGGAGATATCGAAATTTTTGTCGAAACCTTTTTTGTAGAGGTAATTGAGAGCTACGAAAAAGGTCATGACAAAAATTATGCTATCTCCCTTAGTTTTGGAGATATTTCTGAAAATCCCACCGAAGAGTTAGTTAACTTACCTTGTTTTACCACTTTACTACAGATATGTGTTTAATATTTTGAATTTGTATCGCCCGCGTTCCCTTTTCTCTCTAAACATAACCCCGCGTGATCGAATGGCAGCTGCTGTTGGGGGATTATTGATGGACTCGAGAATAATCACAGACGAAAAATTACGATTTTTCGATGGGAAAAGGAAAAAAAAAATCGATGTATATTTCCATTACTTGAAAAAAGTGGTGTGACACCCCTTAAGGTCATTAGACCCTCATGATCACTTCGTTCGTCCCTCCCGTATGGCCCTTAACACCGTTTGATCCTTATAACTACTCTCTTCCCGTTGAAAAATGTATCTTATAAGAAGCCCACGGAACATAAACATTCGGGAGGCAATAAAAATGCCGAGATTGGGGGTAGGCCTCAAGCGCTCCGAGCACAAGGTATATTATTACCTCGAGGTATCTTATTATTGAGGTATATACGAAGCCTCTACTGTACATTATTGTTTGTGGTGATAAACCACGGAGTTTGACGTATAAATTATTGAAATTAATTTGGAGTAATGGATTGCGGCACATTACCCATTTTTTTTACGATCCCCCAGGTAAATGCCCTTCGTCAGGCTCAGGAGTCAGAACGCAAGGCCCTTTTCACGGCTCAAGGTCCCTCCAATGACCTCAGCTCCTCTCACCCCTCAGGATCCTCCTCAACTCCTAGTAAAGATCGAGAGTGGGAGGATAATCGTGATAAACGAAGGGAGAAACGAGATCACGAGGAGGTGAAGGACAAGGACAAGGAGAAGGAGGTTGAGGCGATAAAGGAGAGGTACCTCGGTCTCATCAAGAAGAAGAGGCGAGTGAGACGCTTGAATGACCGTAAATTTGTGTTCGATTGGGACACGTCTGAAGACACATCGGTGGACTACAATAATATTTACAAAGAGCGTCACCAGGTCCAGTTCTTCGGGCGGGGAAATCTCGCGGGGATCGACATCAAGGCTCAGAAGAGGGACCAGAGCAAGTTCTATGGGGAGCTGCTGGAGAAGAGGAGGACTGAGGCTGAGAAGGAACAGGAGAAAATGCGACTGAAGAAGGTGAAGAGGAAGGAGGAGAAGCAGAAGTGGGACGATCGACACTGGTCGGAGAAGGCTATAGAGGAGATGACTGAGAGGGATTGGAGAATATTCAGGGAGGATTATAATATTACTATTAAAGGTGAGATGCATTTTTTTCTGTTTTTTGGTTTTGCTTCCGGGTGGAAGCATTGAAATCGTTCTCTTTTTCGATTCTCTAATTTTGCTTGGAAATGATGTAGAATGGTCTGAAACGTAAAAATACGAAGTTTGAGCACTTTGTGGGTATGTGATAGTGTCACCCTGGTGGTCAACTTTTAGAAAATTGAAGAATTGCAGGACAAATGATAAAAAAAAATATTATGATCCAACTTACAACTTGAATTGTCTCAATTTATGGCTTAAATGAGGGTTCAATTTTTCTCCTACATTTTGACTCCAGTCATTGCCCAATTACGACTCATATTGATGTTCAAGAGGTGTCTCAAATGACGACTTAAGGCCCGGGTGTACTATCTTTCGAATGTTATCTCGATGTTTTTTTTCATCTTTCGTCATCTGAAATTGTCAATTAAGTCCTGCATCATGCAGAAGTTTTGAAAAATTATGAATGAATAATCAAAAAACGTAGAAAAAATTCTTAATTTTTTCAAAGAGCATTTTTAATTTATATTCAGAATAAGTTGAATAACAAGAAATTGAAAAATGTATCTGATTTACGCTGACAAATAGCGGCCTGTCACCCAATATCATGCAGGGGGAAGACTGATTTCGTAAATATTTTCCCACACTGCACAGAGACATTTATTACGGAAAAGGCTCTTTGAAAAAAGTTGTTATATTTTGGAGAATTTTTTAATCACACTTTTATCACATAAAAATGGCAGATGACTACATACCAGTTTTAAAAATTGAGATACCTAGCTGTCACTTCCCAGCAGGAGTTAATGTTTTGTTATCCACCATGGAAAATGACAGCTAATAGATAATTTGCCACAGCGAATCAGATATTTGTAATTTCCACTTTTTTCAACTCATTCTGAATCTCAATTAAAAACGCTCTTTGAAAAAGTTCAGAATTTTTTCTATTTTTTTAAATCATTCTATCATTATTTATGGGAATTTCTACATGATGTACCACTCAATTGACAATTTTGGATTACGAAAGATGAAAAAAATCCAGATAAATTTCGAAGGATAGTACACCCGGGCCTTAAGTTGTGGCCCAAGTTATGACCTGAATTGTGTCTTAATCTACGGCTCAAGTAGGAATTCAAGTTTCTCCTAAAGTACAACTCATATTTGTGTTCAATCTATCTCAAATTGAGGCGCAAGTTTAATGCCCATCAAGTCTCAATTTACGTCTTATCCCCCAGGTGGAAGAATTCCGGATCCAATTCGTTCCTGGAAAGAGTCCGGCTTCCCCAAAGAGATCCTCGATATAATTGACAAAGTCGGTTACAAGGACCTGACCCCAATCCAGCGTCAGGCCATTCCCATCGGTCTCCAGAATCGTGACATCATCGGCGTCGCCGAGACTGGTTCCGGAAAGACCCTAGCCTTCCTCATCCCTCTCCTCCTCTGGATAACTTCCCTTCCGAAAATCGAACGCCTGGAGGAAGCCGATCAGGGCCCTTACAGCATCATCCTAGCCCCCACTCGTGAGCTCGCCCAACAGATCGAAGAGGAAACCAACAAGTTCGGCCAGCCCTTGGGCATTCGCACAGTAGTCGTCGTGGGTGGATTGTCCCGAGAGGAACAGGGCTTCCGTTTGCGCATGGGCTGCGAAATCGTGATAGCCACCCCAGGACGATTGATAGATGTCCTCGAAAACAGGTACCTAGTCCTCAATCAGTGCACCTACATCGTCCTGGATGAAGCCGACAGGATGATCGACATGGGTTTCGAACCCGATGTCCAGAAAATCCTGGAGTACATGCCAGTCACCAATCTCAAACCTGATAATGAAGATGCTGAGAACGAGGAGAAACTTCTTGCTAATTACAACACGAAGAAGAAGTTCAGGTATGTGGAAGGAATGGTTTTATTTCATATTTGAACTGCGAAGGAATATCGAATAATTGGAATACATATTTGAAAAATTATTCTGAGACTTATGATCTCAGAGTAAAACTTTTAAAAGTCTCAAGGTGAATTTTTTTAAATATTCTAATTATGATTTCTCGAAGTTTCAAGTTAACAATCTCAAGTTGACACTTGGGAGTCCTCACTTACGACTGAAAATTCTCAAGTTAAGACTTAAAAGTCCCAAATCAAAACTTGAAAATCTCAAGTTCACGTTTTTTTAATATTCAAATAGTGATTTTTAAAAGTCTCAAGTTGACACTTGAAAGTCCCAAATTCAGCTTGAAAGTCCCAAGTTGAGTTTGAAAAAAGTTTACAATTGAGATTTTTTAGTTCCAAATCGAAAGAATTTTTAAAATTTAAAAATTGAGACTAGCGAACGGACGCGTCGCGAAGGGAACAGTTTTTCTCATTTTCAAATGAAATATATTTATAATAACTAATAAGGAGAGTAGTGATACTTTTTGTTGGGATGATGATCGATTCGCAAGAAAATAAAAATTTCGATTTTTCAATGTCTCCGGAAAGTTTTTAAATTGATATATTTTTTCAAATAATGAAAGAATACCCATCAATTCAATTTCTATCCTCACATTTTGATAGAATACATTTAAAAAAATAGCAAAGAATAAAAATGGGAGATGAAAAATTTTATCGGATTAATATAATGTAATTTGTCCAAGTCTCAAGTTGAGACTTGAAATTCCCAAATTAACACTTGAAAGTTTCATATTAATTTTTTTTAATTTTAAAATTAAAATTTTTTAGGAGTCCCAAGTCGATGAAATTTTTCCAACTTTGAAATTGAAATTTGTTCAAATCGCAACTTGAGACTTTTACTTAACAATTTGCAACCTCAATTTAACACTCAAACCTCAAATTGAAGACTACATAAAATTGTAACAAATTTGTAAACCATTCGTAATTTGTAAATTTGTAATTTATTATCCGTTTCGTAAATAATCCAATAATGATTGTTACATATGAACAGAAAAAAAAGATTACATTACATTACATTTACATTACATTCTGCCTGTATTCTCATTACAGACAAACAGTGATGTTCACGGCAACGATGCCTGCTGCGGTGGAGAGACTAGCCAGAACTTATCTCCGAAGGCCAGCTGTTGTCTACATTGGGAGTGTCGGCAAGCCGACAGAGAGGACAGAGCAGATTGTCCACATCATGGGTGAGGCTGACAAAAGGAGAAAGCTCATGGAGATACTGTCACGTGGTGTTGAGCCCCCAATTATCATATTCGTTAACCAGAAGAAGGGGGCGGATGTCCTGGCGAGGGGGCTGGAGAAGTTGGGGTACAATGCCTGCACCCTTCATGGGGGTAAGGGTCAGGAGCAGAGGGAGTACGCCCTGGCTAGTCTCAAGGGGGGAAGCAAGGACATTTTGGTTGCCACTGATGTTGCTGGCAGGGGTATCGACATCAAGGATGTCTCCATGGTCATCAATTATGACATGGCCAAGACTATTGAGGATTACACTCACAGAATTGGAAGGACTGGGAGGGCTGGCAAGGCTGGGCTGGCTATATCATTCTGCACGAAGGATGATAGCCATCTGTTTTATGATCTCAAGCAGACGATTTTGAGCAGTCCTATCAGCACTTGCCCTCCGGAGCTGCTCAATCATCCGGACGCACAGCACAAGCCTGGAACTGTGGTTACTAAGAAGAGGAGGGAGGAGAAGATCTTTGCGTGAGGGGGGGATTATGCAATTGGTGAGTGTTTCTGCATTTTCAGAGATGGTTGGGAGTGATGGCGTTAGGTTGGTGCCGATTTACTTCGGCACTGATTTTTTTTTGAACGCATAGGGTGAACAGGGGAATTGCAGAACCCCCCAATTAACGGAACTTGACTTTTTGCCAGATTTCTAGAATATTTACCTATCTGTCGAATCGATTTTTTTTAATCAAGTCGATATTTCTGTCCATGATGTGAGAATAGCTGGCAGCTGTCATTTTGTAGTTAAATTTAACAGTGTGACCGCTAATGTGACGAACGAAGTTACTTGGGTTAATAATCATCAAATGTCATAAGTCCAGACTAATGTTGATTCTAAAAGCTTCATTTTTTAACAAAAGTACTAATGATGAAAATTTAAAAAAATTGGAAAACAGAAAAATCAATCATTTGAAATAATAATAATTTTTTTCAATAAAATAAGACATTTTTTTTTTTCTTCTCGAAAAGATATTTATGTTTTGTTATTGATGACATCAGGCGCCAGGAAATCCATAGGGGTGAAGAATGCTGACGTCAAAAATCCTATTCCGGTTGAGTCAACAAAATTGTGATGTCACAAATTCACCATTTTCATTTGTCATTTAAGTACTTTTTCGGTTCATTTTTTTTATCATCAGGATTAATAATAATTGATGAATTAACAATTTGATGAATAATTTATTAAAGGGTCTTGTAATACTTAATCCTCTCATTGGACCCTCCCCACGCTTGATAAACTCCTTAACAAATATTTTGAAATAAAAATTGTTAGTTTCTGTTTTTCGTTTCCTTCTTTTCATTTTTTGACATAAAAATACTTTATTTAATGATAAATCTTACATATTTTTTCATTAATAATTTAATTACTCTTCCACTTAGTTTCGTTATTTTCGTCAATTTTTTCGTTATTATTCACTTAACTTTGGTTATTAGATTTATTATGAGGTTTCTTTGGTTTAGTTAAGCTGGTGGGGGTGGGGGGATTACGTAGTTAGGGTCAGGTACTCGGCAGTCCTCGGAATAATCTCCCGGAAGGACTCTCTCCACTATCTTGGCGAATTTCTCCAGTGGACAGGCGATATCACAATTTTTCATCTTCAGGGGCTGGGTCTCGTAGTCCGGTGCATTCCTCTGGAATATCTGGTGAAAAAAAAATGTTCACATTTTTTGGGTGTTCTCAAGAATGTGTTCAGACATTTTCAACATCAAAAGTTAATTCAACGGTCATTCAAGTAGGGAAATCACCTCAATGACTAATGATTCTATAAAAATACTGAAACTTTCGCCATTTTCGCAAAATATCTCAAGATGGAGTGCGTCAAGAGAAAAATGTCATAAGGCATTTTTTGTAGAAAATTTCGTCCTGTACGAAAAAGGTTAGACACATTTTTCTCTAAGTCAACTTATTAACGAGATAATCTCCTAATCAATAAAACACCCCATGCCTAATTGGAATTTATCCCATAATTTTTGTGCCCAATTGGCTTCATTATCTCGGTAAAGAGTTGTTTTATCGAAAAATATGATAAGAAATTTTTTGTTGGAAATTTTGTTCTCTACAAAAAAGTGTTTAACACATTTTCTTCTAAATCCACTTGTTCTCAAGATAAATCCGCGTGAAAAATAGCTCCCTTTACAGACTATCGTGAGAATTAAAAAAAAAATCGCTAGATTCAACTCTGGATATTTGTATTCAATTAAGCAGAGAACCGAGCAACGAAAAGGGCAAAGAGTTTTTCACTAAATTCTATACACGAAGACGAAAACCTTGGTTTTGGAATAAGAACAAACTTCCACGTAGCACGATAGTCTTGGTCAATAGGGCTCGGGCTAATCATTACCACTTGGTTGCATCTCTCAAACGTAAAAATATTACAGAATCTGCTGAATGAAGATGTGGGCATCCCTCTGAGGATCTTGATCATGTCCTCTGGGACTGTCCACGATACTTTTGCAAACCAACGGATTTACACAGCCATTCACAAGTGATCGCATTCTGAAAAACTTGGACCTAAAATGTATTGAAATCGTCTCCAATTTTCTCACTGTCTGTAAAATTGATGTATGAGCTACCACAAACTACTTCACTAATCTGTAAAAACTTCAGTAAACAATTTCTTTTTTAAATTTATTTTTACATATATATATGTAGCTGTATAAACCTATTGGTTTCGTGCTTAATAAAAAAAAACGTGAAAAATAGAAAATGTCCAATTCTTGCCTGCACATTCCATCTTCCATTTTCCTCGTGCAATTCGATGATGACCATGGATGAATATCCTGGTGGCTCTCCATCCCAGAGTCCCAGAGCACTCAGGACATTGACTAGAGTGCTGTCATGAGCCACATAAGCGAACATTTTTCTATCTGCTGGGGTCAGCGTTCCATTGCTTCTCTCTTGCATTTTTCTTAAGGCTTTTTTCACGAAAGGTCCGCCTGATAATTTTCTCAATTCCTCGGTGAAGACGTTCATTCTGTAGCTCATGATGACAGAGGGCAACATTTTGTCTGGGAAATAGCGTTTTACCCATGAGGGGAGCAATAGATTCGCCATTTGTGCCTGGAATCAATATTTTTTTTTGTGAAAATCAATTTTTCTAGATAAAGAATTCGCTCCAACTGATTGGGGATTTTTTGATGATTAATTGTGATGTCAATGTCGATAATTATCATCTATGAATGATGATGATGAGGTGAATGGAATGATGAAAGCCATGAAATCAAAGGATTTGAAGGAAATAATGAAAAATAAAGGGTTTTTGTCATCGAAAAATCTTGCTAAACTGCGAAAATTTATATTTCTACTGAAAAAAAAATTATTTTCGATGAATAATAATGTTGACGATTATTTACACACCTCAGCATGTAATGTACCGTAAACATCAGCAAGATCTTCAGCTGTTTTGATCGATTTTCCAGTGAACATCTCGATTTCCTCGTACATTCCTCTGTTCTCTTCATTGAATTCCTTCACCTCTCTGTGATTATCCATTCGCAATCGTTCCATCGTGAATTTCGGGCAGGCGTTCCAGATGATTAATAACTAGGAATCATTAATTAATTATTGCATTAGTTAAATTAAATAAATTAATTGAATTAATTTGATTCAAAAATTGACTTTCTGATTTTTTTTTTCTGTTAAAAATCGAAAATTGATGTTTTGATCTCAATAAACTTTATAATTATTTACCAATCACATGATTAATGACTACAAATCATTAAAGAATAATTACGTCAGTTAAACCAATTGAATGAACCAAATTAATCGGTAAAATCGATTTAAAAATGTTTTTTTCCTTAAAAAATTGGAGAAACTCATCTTTTTTTTTGTTGTGGTCTCAATAAATTTGATGATCATTTCGTAAGTAGATGACTACTTAATGACCACAAATTATTAACAAATAATCAAATCAATGAAAGGAATTGAGATACTTGAAATAATCGATGAAATTCTATTATTTTTTGCTTTTGTTCGTTAAAAAATTGATTTTTCATTTCTGTTTTTGTCTTTTTTCTTTCAGTAAATTTGATAATAATTACCTGGTCGTCAACTCTCGTCCAGTAGTGCAGTACCACTGGCTGCCAGGGGATCTCAGCCTTGAACGTCTGCTTGTCCGAGGGCTTCCAGAGGGAAGACGACAGAATCATAGCTGTCATTTTTGTACGATCTGACGAGGTACTCTGCAGCCAGAATTTATTTGGACTGTACGATTCACCCAGGAAGTGATCGTAACGGTGACGCAGATATGCGCCGGTGTTGTATACATTTACTCTACCTTTCTGAAACGTGTGAATTTTTTTTCAGTTATTTTCTGTTCAATAAAATCGACGAAAAAAGCCAATCCCAATTTGGTCGCAATTTTTTTTTATTATCTCGTTAATAAGTGAATTTACCGAAAAATGTCGTGAAACAGTTTTCGTAGGGAATTTAATGCTCTACAAAAAATGTCTTGTGACATTTTTCGATGAGTCCAGTCATTTACGAGATAACTCCACTTTTAGTAGACCCTTTCTGTCTCTGACCTGAATGCCAAAGGAAGTTGGAGTAATTATTGAAATTCACTTACGTTCGTCAATTGACCCCATCCATACGGTGCCATAGAGTCATTAATATAAGGATCCTTAGGATAAGTATCCACAGGTGCCCTCTCCCCATGTCGCATCAGCTTTAATCAAAATTTCTTGCATTTGTTTGCATTTTCTTTGAAAAAATCAAAGACGATTATCAATAAACGTGGAATAATCAGTTGAACCAGTGGACTACGTAATATATCGCTACTGTTATCACTATTACTATCAGAACGGTTAGGAAAATGTATCGAGCGAAGCCAAGCATGAGGCAAAACATTTTTTCCTGTTTTATGCACTCAGTACTTTGAATATTGCCACAAGTTAATTTAAAAAAAAAAACAAGCAAACGTAATTCGCTCAGTATCTCAGTAATGAGTGGGTTTAGGAAAAAATGCCTCTGAACCTTTTTTGTAGAGAATTAAATTTCCCACAAAAAATGTATTTCGCATTTTCTTCTCAACTTAATTATTAAAAAGATACTCGTGAAGTGCGAGAATTGATGATGTATTTTTAGGAAAATTTTGGGTGATTTTTTTACTTACAATTGTCACTTGTCGCAGGGTTTCTTGGTTTACTGAGCCCCCCCGGGGGTCTGGGTCTCGGGACACGGCTGCTGGTGACCCTAGAATCATCAATTGATCGTTAATTAATAAATAATTAACTAAGAATTCGTAGGAAAGAAGTAGATTTTTAATTTGAGAAAAAATTTGTTTTACGTTTTTTTAAATGTAGGATTATCTCGTTAATGAGAGGATCTAGAAGAAAATGTTAAAGAATATTTTTTGTTGATAATTTACTTCTCTACAAAAAATGTTCTCGGATATTTCCCCCTAAATCCACTCATTAACGAGTTAATTCGACGATTAACAATCACTTCTCATTCAACTGTGAGAAATTCCACTTATCCGTTCAGTTATCATCATTCCTGATTAACGAAAAAATTATTCAACATTAATAAACCACCAATCTTTCTCTGAACAGTACCGAAAACCAAGAAATAAATTTCTCTCAATTTTTTGAACATCGGAAAATGATATTTTCTCAACAAAAAAAAGACAATTTAATGGGAAAAATTGTTAGAAGCGGAAAGTTTGTCAACTTTATGAGTAATTGTGCCCTCGTACTTGTTCTCGGGTGATGAATACAATCTGAAATAGTTAAAAGTAAAAAAAAATGCGATTTTCCCCGGCAAATGACGCCTGAGGCTCGATAAAAAGTTCAATGGGGTCGAGATTCGATACTTGGTCGAGTGGTGGATGTCGGTGAATAAACTATAAGGAAATACTCCCATAGATCGAAATAACTCGAGGTTCATTAACTTATCATTACGGCTACTCATTGGATAACGAACCATTGCTCCCCTGGTGTGCAAATGATTTTTTTTCCTTTCTGTTTTTTGGGGTTTTATCGACTATTTCTCAACTTGAATTTCAGGAGTGATAGGGGAAGGAGTTTGCTTATTTTTATTTATGCGGAGAGATTGTCGTGGTATCGGGAGAAGTACGTGAGGACTCTTGTTAATTGGCTTTTTATTTTAATTAGGGGGACTACAATGTTTTTTGGAGGCATTTCAGGTTTTTCTCTTGGGGCATCACAACGCACAATGCGTCTGGAATAATTGTGATAGGGTGAACAGTCTAATTATGGAACACTCAAGGCTCTTCGGTGGTTCAGACAATGGGTTAAAAATGAATTATGGTTTGAAAAAATATAAAATAAATACTGGTCGATTCAAACTTCAGTAGGTTTTAGAAAAAATACATTATGTAATGGGAAATACATGCTTAAAAATAAAGAAACACATTATGTAAAGAGAAATAATCGGGAAAAATGAAAAATTATGGTCAAGTCCAAAAGACCTATTACGGGACACTTTTGCCAAATATGGAACATCGAGCGGCCAATTACGGAACATTAGAACTTTGTGAGACGGTGAAACATTAGGAATCCGAAGTAATAAGGACATTTTTGTAGAAAAATTCAATAAATTCAGATTATAATTGAAAATGGGAATTGCCATTCTAATTTATTATGCAAAGAAACTCTTACTAGTGAACAAACGTTAAAATGAGTAATGTCGATCATATGAACACATAACTCGACTTTCTTCGGATATGAATTTGTCAGAATAATTTAACAAGGAATAGAAACATAAATGTCATATTTTCAACTTATTAATTGTCTATATACTTTTGACTGAACCACTCTGGCGCGTGCCAAACGAAAACATTAGTGTTCCGTCGATTGGAAATGCCATGAAAACCCAACCCAAATGGCGGAGAACACCCATATATTTTTAGAAATAAGAACTCGGATGGAATGAATGCAAAAATATGGAAAAATAAAGCTTTTAGGATTAATATTAGTCTGGACTTACGACATTTGATGATTATTAAAGTAGCTTTGTTCGGCACATTAGCAGTCACACTGTCAACTACCCAATTACGGAACATTAGAACTTTGTGAGACGGTGAAACATTACGAAGCCGAAGTAATAAGGACATTTTTGTAGAAAAATTCAATAAGTTCAGATTATAATTGAAAATAGGAATTGCCATTCTAATTTATTATGCAAAGAAACTCTTACTAGTGAACGAATACATAACTCGACTTTCTTCGGATATGAATTTGTCAGAATAATTTAACAAGGAATAGAAACATAAATGTCATGATATTTTCAACTTATTAATTATCTATATACTTTTCACTGGACCACTCTGGCACGTGCCAAACGAAACATTAGTGTTCCGTCGATTGGAAATGCCATGAAAACCCAACCAAAATGGCGGAGAACACCCATATATTTGTAGAAATAAGAACTCGGATGGAATGAATGCAAAAATATGGAAAAATAAAGCTTTTAGGATTAATATTAGTCTGGACTTACGACATTTGATGATTATTAAAGTAGCTTTGTTCGGCACATTAGCAGTCACACTGTCAACTACCCAATTACGGAACATTAGAACTTTGTGAGACGGTGAAACATTACGAAGCCGAAGTAATAAGGATATTTTTGTAGAAAAATTCAATAAGTTCAGATTATAATTGAAAATAGGAATTGCCATTCTAATTTATTATGCAAAGAAACTCTTACTAGTGAACGAATACATAACTCGACTTTCTTCGGATATGAATTTGTCAGAATAGTTTAACAAGAAATAGAAACATAAATGTCATGATATTTTCAACTTATTAATTATCTATATACTTTTCACTGGACCACTCTGGCACGTGCCAAACGAAACATTAGTGTTCCGTCGATTGGAAATGCCATGAAAACCCAACCCAAATGGCGGAGAACACCCATATATTTGTAGAAATAAGAACTCGGATGGAATGAATGCAAAAATATGGAAAAATAAAGCTTTTAGGATTAATATTAGTCTGGACTTACGACATTTGATGATTATTAAAGTAGCTTTGTTCGGCACATTAGCAGTCACACTGTCAACTACCCAATTACGGAACATTAGAACTTTGTGAGACGGTGAAACATTACGAAGCCGAAGTAATAAGGACATTTTTGTAGAAAAATTCAATAAGTTCAGATTATAATTGAAAATAGGAATTGCCATTCTAATTTATTATGCAAAGAAACTCTTACTAGTGAACGAATACATAACTCGACTTTCTTCGGATATGAATTTGTCAGAATAATTTAACAAGGAATAGAAACATAAATGTCATGATATTTTCAACTTATTAATTATCTATATACTTTTCACTGGACCACTCTGGCACGTGCCAAACGAAACATTAGTGTTCCGTCGATTGGAAATGCCATGAAAACCCAACCCAAATGGCGGAGAACACCCATATATTTGTAGAAATAAGAACTCGGATGGAATGAATGCAAAAATATGGAAAAATAAAGCTTTTAGGATTAATATTAGTCTGGACTTACGACATTTGATGATTATTAAAGTAGCTTTGTTCGGCACATTAGCAGTCACACTGTCAACTACCCAATTACGGAACATTAGAACTTTGTGAGACGGTGAAACATTACGAAGCCGAAGTAATAAGGACATTTTTGTAGAAAAATTCAATAAATTCAGATTATAATTGAAAATGGGAATTGCCATTCTAATTTATTATGCAAAGAAACTCTTACTAGTGAACAAACGTTAAAATGAGTAATGTCGATCATATGAACACATAACTCGACTTTCTTCGGATATGAATTTGTCAGAATAATTTAACAAGGAATAGAAACATAAATGTCATATTTTCAACTTATTAATTGTCTATATACTTTTGACTGAACCACTCTGGCGCGTGCCAAACGAAAACATTAGTGTTCCGTCGATTGGAAATGCCATGAAAACCCAACCCAAATGGCGGAGAACACCCATATATTTGTAGAAATAAGAACTCGGATGGAATGAATGCAAAAATATGGAAAAATAAAGCTTTTAGGATTAATATTAGTCTGGACTTACGACATTTGATGATTATTAAAGTAGCTTTGTTCGGCACATTAGCAGTCACACTGTCAACTACCCAATTACGGAACATTAGAACTTTGTGAGACGGTGAAACATTACGAAGCCGAAGTAATAAGGATATTTTTGTAGAAAAATTCAATAAGTTCAGATTATAATTGAAAATAGGAATTGCCATTCTAATTTATTATGCAAAGAAACTCTTACTAGTGAACGAATACATAACTCGACTTTCTTCGGATATGAATTTGTCAGAATAATTTAACAAGAAATAGAAACATAAATGTCATGATATTTTCAGGACTTTCTTTTAGGATCAACATTAGTCTGGACTTACGACATTTGATAGCTATCAACCCAAGTCACTTTGTTCGGTACATTAGCGGTCACACTGTCACATCTAACTACTCAACTGTCGCAAAACGGCTGAAAATGTCAGGTGGCAGGGTTTATTTCCATTATTGACCGGAAAACAGCAGATAAACCACCAAATATATTCTCAAAAAAGAAAAATTGATTCGACAGATAGATAAGTATTCCACAAATCTGGCAAAATATTCAAGTGTTCCGTTAAGTAGGGCGGGA